GTTCGTGAAGAAAGGCGCCGAAAAGGGCAAAGAGAGTGAAGTACCGACAAAGGGAGTGTCTGATTCAGACGAAAACAAACGTAAAATGAAGGCGTTCGAGGAGCGTAAACCAATAGTGTGCTACAGGTGTAAACAGCCTGGTCATGTCGCTTCTGGTTGCCGCGTCCCTAAAGTTGCTCCCGTTAACTTGTGTCTGGGAGAAGCGGAGGACTTACTCAGGCCGTATCTGTACGACATGAAAGTAAATGGTAAATTCTGCAAAGGTTTACGAGATACCGGCGCCACGTATGATCTGGTACACTCTTCGCTAGTGGAGCAAGAACATTTTACAGGCGACTGTGTGTGGATCCGTCAGGCCTTGGAAAATCGGGCAGTTAGTCTGCCCGTCGCTAAGGTAAAACTAAACGGACCTTTCGGAGTAGTGGAAACGGAAGCAGCTGTTTCTGACGGAGTGCTTCCAAACTGTCCGTACATACTGTCAAACAGAACTGCAAGGCAATTGAGCGAGTCGGGTATACCGCTTGACATGAATCCTGTTCTAGTCGTCACGCGCTCAATGACAACTAGTGCAGTGCCGGAAACACTTCAGACGGAAGCGAGCGCGACGACTGGTAAAACCAGCAGCGGGCCCGATGAAGAGCCGAACGAAGGAGCTGACATGACCACGCTGGTTTCGCCGGAGAGCAGCAATTTTCGTGCGCTAGCCGGTGTAGATAAGCTTACGCTTATCGCCGAACAGTCATCCGACCCGAGTCTTTCAAAGTGTCGTGATAGCGTGGGAAAAGAAATCAAGCCGAACATCTCCTTCTTTATGAGCAACGGCATTCTTTACCGTAGTTTCAAGGACAAATCGGGGAACGAGGTAGATCAGATTGTCGTTCCATCCAAGTATAGAATTGCATTACTCGAGCTTGCTCACGGAGAAGGGTGGTCGGGACACCTAGGAATCACAAAGACCAAGTGCAGGCTTTTGGCAGAATATTATTGGCCGGGCTGCTTTAAGGAGGCTGAGCAATTCGTCCGTTCTTGCGACACCTGCCAAAGAACAGGACGACCAAACGAGCGCCGAAAGGCGCCTCTCACACTAGTGCCCATAATCACGGAACCTTTCAAAAGGCTAGTGATAGACGTCGTAGGACCCCTACCTACAACTAAGACGGGTTTTAGGTACCTTCTAACGATATTATGCCCAGCCAGCAAGTTCCCAGAAGCCGTTCCAATGAAAGAGCAGACATCGGTCGAAGTAGTAGATAACTTGCTCTCGGTCTTTTCTCGGATCGGGTTTCCTAGTGAAATTCAATGTGATCTGGGTAGCGTTTTTACCAGTGCTCTAACAACCAGCTTTTTCGAGAGGTGTGGCATTAAGATTGTTCACAGTTCTGTAAGCCACCCGCAAAGTAACAGCGTAGAGAGAGCGCACTCGGTAATGAAGCGCATTCTCAGGGCCCTTTGTCACGAACAGAAAAAAGAGTGGGACTTGGCATTGCCCGCTATGCTTTTCGCGTTGCGAACCGTTGCTCACGAGTCAACTGGTTTCACGCCAGCGGAACTGGTCTATGGACGCAATTTGCGTTCACCTTTGCGGTTGCTGCGCGAGGGCTGGGAGGGTGAAGCCGAGAACCCAACAGTGGTGGAGTATGTGTTTTCCTTACTAAACCGTCTCCACAAAACGCGTGAGCTAGTTGAGGCTAACCTGGGAAAAGCGCAGTCGCGAGGTAAAACCTACTATGACAAAAACAGCCGCCTCCGAACGTTTAAGGTGGGTGACAAAGTCCTACTTTTGAGGTCTTCTAAGGCTCATAAGTTGGAATTGCAATGGGAAGGACCAGCAACGGTCCAGCAGAGGCTATCAGAGACAAATTACGTGGTAAAACTGCCAGGTCGCAGAAAAGAGGTCCGCATATACCATTGCAACCTTATGAAGCCGTACGTGGAAAGGGTGCAAGTAGTCAGCATTGCACTAAACCAACCAGAGGAAGTTCCTACACGAATTCCTGAGCTGGGAAAAACCGACGGGATCCTGACAATCGCCGAAGTCGTAGAGGCCGCAGTCGATAAGACGCTCACCCAAAACCAGTTTTCGGATCTTACGGCATTAATTGCCAAATACCAAAAATTGTTTTCAACTATTCCCGGAAGAACGAGTCTAGTCGAACATGACATCGAAGTGAGGACTCGGTCAAATATTCAGTGCAAGGCCTATCGCTTTTCCCCCCGCCAAGAAAAGCTATTAAAGGAGTCCGTAGATCAAATGCTAGAGCTAGGGTTGATTGAGCGGTGCGAGAGCGACTTCGTGTCTCCTATGATTCTGGTAGAGACTCCAGGAAAAGAACCTCGTCCCTGTGTGGACTACCGAAAGTTAAACGCGGTAACGGTAACAAAAGTCTGCCCAATCCCTAATATCGAAACTTGCCTTGAGAAAGTAAGCAAAGCCAAGTTCATCTCAACCATCGACCTCGTTAGAGGTTACTGGCAAGTGCCACTTACCGCGAACGCCAGTAACCTTGCCGCCTTCATGACCCCGTTTGGTGTTTTTAAGCCGCTTGTCCTGAGCTTTGGACTGAAAAACGCACCCTATGCGTTTTCGAGACTGATGAATCTGGTACTGGTCGGAACCGAGTCTTTTGCGTTACCGTACCTAGACGACGTCGCTATATTTTCGGACACGTGGAGAGAGCACGTTCAGCACCTAGAACAGGTGTTCTCGCGCCTGCAAGACGCAGGACTTACACAACTTACAGTCAAGGCGAAAAAGTGTAAGTTTGGCCGAGGCGAAGTATCGTATCTCGGACACGTAGTCGGTCAAGGAATGAGACGTCCACAAGAACTCAAGGTTCAGGCCATTAAAGAGTTTCCCTTGCCACAAACAAAAAAAGATTTGATGTCCTTTATCGGACTGGTGAATTACTACCACCAGTACATTCCCCAGTTCTCTGAAAAGGCGAGTCCCCTGACGGATGCGCTCAAGGAAACTGAGCCCACTAAGATCAAATGGGACGATCGCAAGATACATGCGTTTGAGGCTCTTAAGTTAGCCTTGGCGACTCAGCCCGTGTTAGTCAGCCCTGACTACACAAGACCCTTCTTACTGCAGTGCGACGCCAGCGAAAAAGGACTTGGCGTCGTTCTAAGCCAAGAAAATGAAGGGGAAGAGCACCCCGTTTTGTTTGCCAGCAGGAAGCTAACTTCAAGGGAGCAAGCCTACAGTACTATCGAAAAAGAATGCGCTTGTCTCGTATGGGCTGTAGAAAAGCTTCGCTGCTATCTCTATGGTTCGGAGTTTATTTTAATTACAGATCATAGACCGCTCACATGGCTTCAGCAGCTGTCCCCCAAAAACGGTCGCTTGTTACGCTGGAGCTTGACCCTCCAGGAATATTCTTTCTTGGTTCGACATAAAAAAGGAAAGCTTCATGCGAACGCAGATTGTCTGAGCCGAGCGCTCTAACCGGCGCACAGTGCGATTTTCTGTTTCTTTTGTCTCATCTGCACATTTGTAAATAGTTCCATTCAATTTCATTCATTAGCTGTCTATTCCCGAAAGATCGGGAACGATATTTTCAAAAAATTCTGGCTGCGTTTGGGGCATATTTTGTAACCTATTTCTTTTGAATAATTCGTGCTCTCGGTGAGTGGAAAGGGCGTTTCGGGTGCCTCCGCAGTTTCTGTGGTGCTTGGTTGTTGTTGGCCCTTCTCATTCCCCTCAGAAGCACGACGGACCTCTGTTGTCATCCCGACGTCCTGGCACCGACGGCACGTGACAGCCGCTGCTACTCCTGGGCCGCTGGCGACTTTGGCTCATGGTCGCAAGGATCGCCATCACCGCTCCTTCCTGCTCCTCTCGGACCGCACAGTCGACGCTTCCGACCAGTCAAGGACACTGAAAACTGCAGTGACGGTGTTGGGCCGCGCGTCGACGCTTCCGGCCAGTTTCGCAGACGGTGTTGGGCCCTGCGTCTCCAGGACTTCCCGCCCTTCGGATCAGCGCAAGCTGAACCTGTATACGCTGTGAAGGTTTCTTCGAGCAACGACTGTGAAGTTCTGCGCAAGCAGCACTAGGATTACGCCGTTCGTTTGTCTGTCGAACATTCCCAAGGACGTGCTTGAAACCTGGAGAGCGGCGGGAAAATTGTTTTATGCGGTTTCGCCCTAAAAGGGGGAGGAGTTGTTACGATGCGATGTTATCGCTTATCGCTGTCGCGGCCGCAGCAGAACTGCTGAGTCAGGGGGGCGTACCTCTGGTGCTTGCTGCCGATATAAGCGGCATCGCCGGCAAGCTTTGTGCTCTTTTGGTTCCGGCTGCCGAACAATAAACGCTGCCAAATAAACGTCGGTCTCCGGATTCGTCGATTCTCCCGGAGAAACGTAACAATCCTATGTCGGTCAGACAGGAAGGTGTTTGAACGGCAGGCTGAGAGAGCATGCATAATCCCTTAAAGCAACGGTAGGGGGACTTCTACCGCTACATTGCAGAGATTGCTCTTGTTTCCCCTCTTTTGATGACGTAACTGTTGTGGGCAGCACCGAGAAAAAAATGACTCGAGAGATAATTGAAGCGTTCATTATATCTTTGATGGCAGACAAATGTGTCAGTGAGCCATCGATGGCGTTATCTGAGAGGGAGGTACTTTATCTGCATTCAAACACGAGTGTGAAGTTTTGAGGCGATGTATCTGCACATCTGGTCGCCTGGTGGGCGTGTGTTTTTAATCTGTTTGTGTGCAATCTGTTTAACAAGTTTCTTTGGTTCACTTTTCTTCCAATAAACTTCAGTTGTGAATCAGCCGTTGTCCTGTCGTGTTCTTTACCCGTTCTTCGTCCCTGTTTATCTGAGGCTGTTTTTCATCATGTGTAACTGTTGCCAACTGGCCCAAGTGACCACCCTACTTGAGCTGCAGTAGTTTGGTATAAGTAAGGTCTATAGAGGAGTCGGCTCACTGCCCATGTCTTGAAACGCAAGTGCAGCCACTGTGCCTAAGACGAGCTCCTTTTGTCTTCAGTTGGACACTAAAGAGCAGCTGAAGAATGTGGCCAACATGCGCATTGTGCGCTACCGCTACATCCCCGAGTTCGTGGACCAGGCAGGACTCTCGGAAGCTGTCGACACCGGAGTTTTAGCGCAGGAGGTCCAGCAGATTTTACCGGACGCCGTTCGTGAGGGCGGCGACGTTCACTTCCCAAATGGAGAGTGCATCGAGAGCTTCTTGGTTGTCAACAAGGTCAGATATCACATGTAAAGCCTGTTTTGGAAAGTCGTTAACTGATTGGATTATACACCTTACATACCATGGTCCTTAGATAAACTACTTGCTGGTCTAGTTCTGCGTTTCCCTCCCGCGTACTCTTTGTTACCAGAAGTGGCGCTGATCCATGCAGAAGTAAAAAAAAAAAGTTAAACGAAAGTTAAAAAAATACATCCTGCAAAATTTTTAAATATTTTTTAAAGCAGATGTAGCACCTTTTATGTGGCACTTCAATCATTGCGAAATAATATGTCCCCTAGGTCCCAAGTTTAGATAATGATTTCGATCATCCATCTTTTCGACGAGTTCTTGGGGTTTTACGAAAGTATAGATGCATACAGTGAGTTTCTCCTCTATGGCTTCTCCGAACCCACGCCTATCCATTAGGTTCTCCAAACGGTCTGATTGGTTGACTCCCAGCGTCAGCAGCAAGCCTCTGGTGCGTGCACCTCTACCTAAAAAACCTTCCCATAGCGTGATGAAGAGATTCCAGACCAAAGAAACTAAGGACCATGGTTGTATCAATGCAAAAGAGCAGACGGAGTCAATTATGCCAATTTTTCACTTTCCTTCATGCACAACTTACAGCAAGTTTGAGCTTATGTCCGCTGAGCCTGCCTACACTCTGGTCTCCTTGCAGGAGCGAATTTTTATGGAGAATGTTGGAGCTGTCAAGGAGCTCTGCAAGGTGACTGACAACCTGGGAACTCGAATCGATGAGTTGGAACGCATCAACCGCAAGCTCAGCAAGATCAAGCGTTTCGACAGCATCAAGTCGTGTTCAAGTAGCAACAGCACAGTAATCAGGTGAAGGCAGTTACTGCCACGTGCACATATTTTAGTACTGTTGCCATTGTTACCAACACTTAAACATGTACACATTCTAAGGCCATCTGGGGTCCACTAAGAGAGACTCTTGACGGTTAAAAAAGATCAGTGATTTTCGTAGTTTGTCAGGGTCTGGAGGAAAAAAAGCATGCTACATTGTCCCGTTGCGCTACTTTTGCTGCACGACACAGGTGCAATGCAGAAAAACAATTTGCTGGAAAAAAAAAGTGTAATTGTCGTACGGATCTCTACGCAGCTGGAAATTAGTCTGTCTCAATGGGCAACCGATATTGCTGCTGTAGATAAGCAATAGGACCAGAGCAGTAGAACTTCTAGCCTGGGGTCTTTAACATGCATTACATAGTAGCGATTACATGAGTGCATGCCAGTGTGATGATCATCCAGATCAAAGTAAGTTTCGGTCAGGATTGTATGCAGAATCATTTACTGAGCGCTTCTGTGACTGCTGATCATAATAGTTTTAATGCGCTCGCTTCATATCCTAGAATCACCTGGGTTTCGCTTGAGACTTTGACACACATTTACAAATTTCTCAACAATAAACGGCGAGCTAAATGTAAATTAAACTTTGCATTATTTGAGGGTCGGGGACCTTTAATGATGCAATTGATTACATGACTATTTAAAAGTAAAATGCACAAGATCTAGCTACCGTAAAATACCAGGCAAGCACCCGCTCAAAATTTAAAGGTAATCGCGAAAAAAAAAAAAAAAATTTTACATATAAATTTATTGTGCATATTTTCTTAGATCTTACAAATTTGGGAAGGGGCGCTTAGTGTGGAATGGGTGGATTGCCAGTATTCTACGATACACCTAGCTTTAATCATTTATCATAAGAATTCCATCACGAGGTCAAACAAACAAATAAAAAGGAATTAAAGCAAATCCAAAACTACTGTGCAGTTGCAGTCAAATTTAAAACAGTTAAACATTTATGGAAACCGAAAATTATTATTCTAGCTAAGCGACGTCCCCCCCAAGCAAGGATGTTTGATTTGGGTTGGAGACCATTCTGTGTCACAATTAGCTCAAGCTCTTGGTGATGGACTTTCCTGCAAAAATGCTGCGCCATGCGGCGAAGCCAACATGACAGGGTGGTAGCTGAGCCTATGAATGCCGTATTTACTCGCATAATGAACACACTTTTTTTTTAGAAAAACTGACACATATTTCGGGAGGTGCGTTCATTGCGCGGGGTAAAATTTTTGCATTTACGCACTGGCCAAATGTCATTTTAGGTGCCATTATGACATGGCAGGGTACTGTGGCATGTCTCCCCTGACAGAGGCGCACCCATGGCTGGTCGTGGGTGCGCCACAGTAACCATGCTCCATAAATTGCAAGCCTTCTTTAGGGCGCTTTTGGCATGCCTTTTGCTGAAGAAAAAACGCCCGCAAAGCTTACTCAGCACGGAGCGACGTTACTGGAGCAAGCTCAGTTTCACAGCTCTGCCTGCGACATATGGACTGGGTGGCGGTCACGAGAACTAACAGCGCTGCAGTCGAGTCTTACTTCCGGATTGTCTAGCCCGCCAAGTTTGAATAACAATACTATAAAGCTTGGGCGAGTTGATGATTCATACTAACACTTCACAGCGCGAGGAAACAGATGCACACAAAATTAAATTTCAAACACTCGGAGAAAGAACTCTCACACTGCGCTGACTCTCATCTCTGTGCTGTATTATACAGTTCATCTACATCATCTTTTCTTGCTATTATACACATGCAAGTAAAAAAAAAAAAAAAAAAAGAAAGGAAAAAAAGGAAACTGAAAAAGAAAAGGATTAAGAAACACGTGAGACAGGGAAGTAAGATCCGACTGCAGCGCCGCTAGTTCTCGTGACCGCCACCTGGGCCACTCGCCTCTGCAGGCGAGAATAGGGAGCTGCGAAACTGAGCTTGCTCCAGCAACGTTGGCATGGAAAGTGACACGACCATTCTTAGGCCTAACCATGTTCACAATATCACTCTCCGAAAGCGGATCACAGACAATGGCGTGTTTGTTGATGTCAATGCATCCTGTGGACGAAGCACGTCCAATGCTGGGCAATTCCTCGACCCCAGCTTCAATAGGCGTGCGCGCAGCTCGGTTTCACGGTTAATCACTTCCGCAACCACGCAACTGCAGCCATTACGAGAGCGGCTTGGCTTGGCTTGACTTGGCCTGGCCACTTGGAGGCAAAAGAAAATTGGCTTCAAGGCTCGCGGAGTCGAAAATTAAAAGTGTGTTCATTACGCGAGAAAAAGAAAAAAGTCCAAATATTGATGCCAGTTGTGGGGTTGTTTTCATTATGCGAGTGCATTCATTATGCGAGTAAATGCGGTATACAGAATTCGGCAAAAGTGACCTGGACCAAATAACTCTCACGTCCCTCTCCTCTAACTTTGTAAACACAGCTCCCCAAACTGCACTTAGAATCACAACTAACCCTACCTCAAATGCTTTATCACATTGCCATTGCCACATTGCTCCTGCATTATCACACTGCTCCTAAATCTAAGATAACCCTTTGCTTGGAGACAGCATTTGTTTTTGCAAAAGATAGCCCGTTCTACAGTTCTGTATGCGTTATGAGACAAGTCTCTTTCTTGCCCTATGCAGCCGTGGCTCCTTCCCCTCAAGAAAAAGTGTGGTTGGAGGCAAGAAGCGGCCAGAGAAGCCGTTCTGCAGCAACAAGTTTGTCCAGGGAACCATCATCATCCTCATCCTGGTGATGGCATTCTGGTAAGTCACCAAGCACAACTTCTACTCCTATGTCCGAGTTGAAATGGCATCAGTTGCTGACGACCTTTCTTGGGGGTTACTTGATTTAGCCTCGTCGCCATGGCAACGCTGTACATCCTTGAGTGGCAGAGGAGAGCGGTTCCAGTCGCGGGACGTCACCCGTAAGTGCAACGTTAATATTAAAAAAAACAAAAAAACTTGATGCAATAACAAAAAAAATGGAGGATAAGAATATCTGAGAGTTCAGTATACTACCGCTTCTCTTAGTCGTGCTTTCTGAGGATCTGTCTTGAATGTTGTCACTGAGATTAAGTTTTCAAAATCACAGTAAGCTCTGAGTGGTGTGAAGCTTGATTGACTTTACACATATTTTACTCATAGGATGTAAGTCAACTATATTCTGTTGACACAATTTAAAGCAAAAAGGTTACTCAAGTGCAGTAGCTTTAGCTGAACATTGCCTTGCTTGCATAAATCAAAGCTGTCGGTTAATGGCTTTGGCTCAAGCAAGTTCACCAACAGCAGTAAACTATACAATGCTACAAATTTATATTATGTTTAGTGAGAAAAACCAACATGAAAAACCCCTCTATAGTATTGGCTCAAAAAGGGCACCAGATCATATGTAAAGCTTTTCACGCAAAAGAGGGGCCTACTTTTAACCTTTTTACGCTCCTTGCAAGGACAGGAAAGTTTGAAAATCTTCGTTAGGATGATTGTAATGATACAAAACTTTCAAGCTGGCAAACACACAGAAAAGGGGATAAGCGTGTTATTCATTATGTTAATGCTGTTTTCTAGGACATCAATGGAAAACAGCAGTCACTCGGAGCCGGGTGCCAAGAGTCATAAAAACACGGTGGACAATACCACCAAGGACAAAGAGCCGACGGATCCCATAAAACCTCTCAGCAATGACGGTAAGGCACATTTCGTCAGACCGTGGCTTCAGCTTTCTCAGTTGCTTTGGTACCTCCGTCTGCTCACTGCAGTAGTATTATGATCCATAGTGACATCTTACGACGGCACATATTTTGCTTGGCTTTGAAAGCCTAGTCAGGCTGTAGGCCATTCCAATGACTGTCTTCTGCACACTACCATAATTGTCTACTAAGCGCTGAAATGCGTTCTGAGAGCATGTGCAGTAGCTGTCTTGTGCGGTATACGAGATGCTGCGCATGCATCCGCTGCCCAGTGACTCGGCATTTTTCGTCTGGGTGATAATTGCTGGAAAGTTGTACAATTGCAGTCCCCACATTGCACAGAATCAAAGTCTTCGAGCATACCTCGGAAGGGGACGGACCGGAACTTTCCAGTACAGCCGTCGAGGCCAGCGGGACCGAACAAGGACTGGTCACAGATGCCATCCACTGCCAGACCGTTCGTCCTACCCACAGTGGTGCCCATCTTAAAGCCGAAGGTGGGTCGGCAGATTTTTAGATTCAAGTCACTGCTGTTATCGATGCCTGGTATCAAAAGCTTACATATTGTAACAAAAATCAAAATGGGCAGAAAGTGTTTCTTTTGTTTCTTTATCTATATGAAGGAGTGACCAAATCAGTCACTAGGGAGTTTTTGTAGACCGTTCCCCCCCCGCTAGGCTATCCGCAATGAAGACACCACATCTGGGAGTGTGCGCCACTAGCCTTGTCTGCGGAGTTCTGGATCTCGTAGCAGTTTGCAGAGAGTCTTGTGGGATGGCGGAAACTGCCCAAAGCTATCACAAGTAGCACATATTATGGGGACCATGTGGGAAGCACACAAAGTCACATATGGGGCCTGTATGGACCTTGCTATTGATTTACTCGATCATAAAACCTACCTACTACCTAATTAGACATTGGTTCCTATAGCCGCACAATCATTGCCTTCTGCCAGGCTTTGGCTGTGAGTGAGCTAAAGTGCCGTCAAAAGGCAAAAAGCTTGCGCTGGGGACGTAGCCTCCACTGCGTTCTCAACTTGTCACCGACTACAGAAGTCTTGTTTCAACTGCTTTTGAAAGACTGTGATGAACTGCGATTCATGTTGTGCAATCCATGCGTGTCCATTGACTGGGATGCACGAATCGTGTTGCAGGTGGTGGGAACGCCAGCAGACTGCTTGGATGGAGTGCTAGGCACGTGCAGTGCCTTCTGCTGTCTGCCAGCTGTTCCTGTGTCTCAGGACAGCAATGCCCAGAGGGTCAGTTCTTCTGGCACGTTTGCACGGACTTCAGGTAAGCATGTTGTTGCACAGCCTGATAAAGAATCTGAACTGACACAAAAAGGAAAAGCATAAGACGGGAGGATGGGTGAATGGATAACGGTTTATGTTTTATATCTATCATCGCATACGGGGGCTATACCTCTACATGGTGCATTGAAACAGAGACCTGAAAATTAACTACAGGTTTATTCTTCAAACTTTTCTATGCGATAGAATAAAAGTAAAAGTGTGTATACTTAGACAGCGAGAAGTTAGTCAGCCCGAATGGGCGTCTGGCGTCTTCAGTGTAGATGAGAAATTTAGCCTGTGCATTACAATCACTAGCCTGGGGTCCTTAAAGGGATACTGAACTGAAATTTCGAGCTCACAAAACAAGGCTGGACAGTTAGGCGAGACGCTGCAAAACTCAAGAATGTCACTCATACAGCAATATCTCTAATGGATCACCATATTTAAAAAAAAAAAAGTGCGTGATTGAATGCGGCTGACGAGGCCGACGAGACAAGTCACGTCATGATTCTCATTCCCTCTCCTCCTTGCTACTTCCCGTCGAGCTGGTGAACTGAAGCGAGGAGGAGAGAAGTGAGGCCGCTTCCCCTCATTCTCAAATTTTCCAGGAGAACTATGGTGTCATAGCCCTAGCTTGAGTGCACCCTTTTTTTCAAAAGTATAGCCATCCGTTTGAGATATCGATGTATGAGAGATATTTTGGAGTCCATAGCGTCCCGTTCAAGGCTTCTGCGGCCTTATTTTGCGAAATCCAAATTTCAGTTCAGTATCCCTTTAACGTACATCACGCAGTAGTCATATATGACCGCATGCTGGTACGATGCTCATCCAGATGGAAATGGGCAGGGGGGGGATTGAACCCAGGATCTCTGGGTTCTGCAATGCGAGCTTCGCTACACCTGCTTCGGGCTGCGGTGCAGTAAAACTCTAGGCCACTGATCCCCCTCTGATAAAGCAGCCTAAACCGGTTTTACAAATTCTTTTTCTTATATCGCACAGCTGACACGAACAACAGTGCCACCAATGCGTCCACCGTGTCCAAAGGCAAGCAGCCCTTAGACGACCAGCCGCTCCTAGACCAACTGAATGACACCGGCCGTGGCGGAGTTGTTCTCGACGTCGAAGACAACAGCGCCCAGTGGGGGAAAGCCGTCGTTTCGGCTGCCCCAACCGAGGTGCCAGCTGACAGCTTGTCATCTGCACCGACCGTGGCCGTGGCTCCTGTACAGGGGATGCAGGCGAAGCAGATGGTGCATCGCGACAACAGTGCACCAGCGATGGATGCTTCGTCTCGTCGGCGTTCAAAGTCGATGTATAGCGTGAAGGGTAAGCCTCACCAAACATTACTAGAACACTCAGTTGGGAAACTCACCCTTGAAACCTGGGCTGCTAGCGTCCGCCGAGACCGAGCTAAATACGATAATAGTGCCACCCATTAGTGACAAGTTGAAACATGAAAGTTGCTTTAAATGGCTACTGCTAGTCACTGAATGTTCCCAGGGTACCGAAACTCCCAGGCTCGAGGTGCCAAGATGGCCGCTGAATCTTGTTTCTTTACTGTGGTTACCATGAGCTTTTAGAAAGCTAGTTTTTGCGTAAAAACAAATGGAAAAAGCTTTTTGTAGGAACTTTTATTGGAGATTAGTATGAAATAGCTGGTGCGTGATATTTTTGCAAAATCTTTAGTTTACAAGGTTTTGCGGCACAATTAATATTGTTGTTATACAACCATGTCTCACCGATTATTTCAGGTAGCGCGTCCCGACCTGGTCGCGTCCTAACTTTGGTAGTAATTCGGGGCTTGGGAGATGGGAATTGGCATCCCTGAAACCCCTTCCGCTGTATATGTTTCGGCGCTAAAATGGCCAATTAAAGCCAAAATAGAACAGTCACGGCAGACGTTATTGAATGTGATACTCCCGAACCAATACAAGCAACCGTGCAGTTCCCCGATTGCCATTAGCTGGGTTCTCGAGTATGGATCGGTGGCACTTATTCAGAGCAGTCTCTATGGCAGTTTCCCAACTGAGTTGTTTTAGTAATGTTGACCTCAACCCTTTCTTTATTGCTGAAGAAGGGTAGATAGGGGTCGCTAAAAGAAGAGGAATGGTTGGCCTACTCGGAACATTCAACCATTCAACTGGTTCCGTGTGGAAGGATAGAAAGAAGAAAATAAAGATTTCAATGAAGGGGAGAGAAGGAGAGGAGAGAGCAAAAGTAGACACGAAAGAGCAGACGCATTGAAGTCTTGGGAAACTGGCAATACCCGAATCCTCTGGGAAGTGTAGCAGCAAGTGTTTTAAAGAGTATGTCGAATTTGTTGAAGAGCTCCAATATATGAGCTGTGATTCATATAAAGGGATGTACGTACTGATGTGACATAAGAGTGTGACATAAAGGGTGTAACATGACAGTTTGTATGCAAGATTGTACAGGGTTTGTACGAAAATGGATCCATTATGTGATATACGTAAGACCATACTAGTCGTATGTATGAGTACTGGCAGTGGACGTGACTCCACATAAACATTCATGACGTGTACTTGAAAGTTTCTGACAACACATGCGAAAGAGGATATTTCATTTGTAATGCATACATTAAATGCATGTGAGTTGGCTCGTGCGTAAATTGCCATAGTATATAGTATATATCACGGGGCACTTTCATCACCTTACAGGGTCTCCAAAGAAAATATATTTGAAAATATGCAGATGACTTAACCATACTCAATCGAATGGAACAAAAGGTAGGAAGCCGCCAAAAGACAAAATCTTTGGTGGCGCTGGGATTCCAACTGCGGTTCTCCCAATATTTGGTCAGCCGCTTCGTAAATCTTTGTTCCATTCGATCAAGTATGATTAGAAGGAAGAAGAGAAAGTCACATAGCGGACGTGTATTCCATTCGCTCCTATTTTCTCTGCTTACTGCTACTACGTTGCCCATCGCCAGTGAGTAGTTTTTTTTCTCTCACTTCATCATAAGCAGTTCTTGCTGGCTTGCAAGGTTCTGGCTTGCCCGTTGCGCGGCACTCCAGCCGGCAAGGCATGGAAATTTCAACGTCCTTAGTCGCCGCCATGGCGGAACCGCTCCCGCCTGACGACGAACTTGCCAGCGTTTCGGGCTCAATTGCCGACGACAATCAAGGTGCGTTCCAGGATGTCGTCCGTGGAACAAAGAGACGCTGCCCAAGTCAAGGCTCTGGTTCTAGCGAGCAGACCATCATCACCCAAACCGAGCCCACTGTCGGTCTCGTAGTTCTTTTCACTCCTGTGGACAAAGATGTAAGAATTGACACCATCACTTCGGTTCGCCTCACATCCACTCTGGAGACGCTCGTGCCTTCGTGTGTTATTGAGGTGCGCTTTAACAGGCGGAAGAACCTCCTAGCGATTGACACGCGGAATGGACAGACGACACATACTCTCCTTGGCCAGACGACGCTTTGCGGTATGAAAGTGCGTGCTTTCGAGCCTCGTGGAAAGGCCTCCAGCGTTGGAATTGTCTGCGACATTGACAGCACCCTTTCTGACTTCGCAATACTCGGAGTTTTGCGCTCAACAGTAGGCATCCGCAACGTCCGTCGCATCGGCAAGTCCACTACTATTCGAGTTGAGTTTGCTTCTCCTACACTTCCTGAGCACGTCTACGTCGGCCTGGTTCGACATAGCATCGACTTGTATGTCAACAACCCCATCCAATGCCACCGATGCGGTTTGTTTGGCCATGTTGCGGCTGTGTGTAAGCGGTCGCTAACTTGCCTCCGATGCGCAGAGCCTCACGCAACTACGGAATGCAAAGGCTCGAGCACTCTTTGCGTCAACTGCAAGAAACCACATGAAACAACATCACAACAGTGCCCATTCTGGCAAGCTGAGCGCTCCGTGTGTCGCTATCGCTGCGAGAACAATGTTTCCTTCGCAGAAGCACGAGCCCAAGTGGACAAACGTACGGCCGAGCGGGCGGCTCCACGAGCCGAAGCTGCAACAGAGATGGTTGTTCTAAGTGAAAAACTTCAACGGAGGCGACGTCATTCTCGACGACGCCAGGCGGAACAACATATTGCAGACAAACAAGACCCGCCATCATCGCTTGTCGCCGAAGCCCCGAAGCCAATGGACACAGAGCCTGCGCTTAAGGAAACACCTGTCCTTGTCTCCTCCGGCGAGAACAACGTGCGCAAAAGCTACAAAGCAGCGCTGCAAAACGAGCCCCCACCGTCGTCACCACCAGTTCAGGCCGGACCTGTACTCCCGACCACTCAAGCTCCTCCAAGTGTTGGACAGGAGGCGATACCGTCCCTCCCAAAACCAAGCACCCTCACTTCCTCGTTAGGTAGCTTCGTACGCCAAATGCTCGTCATAGCGCGACAGTTTCTCCCGCTTCTACAGTATCCATGGGCAAACCAGCTCCTGAATTTTATCACACTTATAGAGCCCTTGGTCAAAAGTTTTCTGCAATGAAAGGTTTTACTCTGCTCATTTTTATTTTTATGGCTTCCTGCCCATCTATCTTACAATGGAACGCCCGCAGCATCACTTCTAAATTAGCAGAGTTGCAGTATTACCTTTCATCTCAGCCGGTACCTATACTTGCAATTTCGGAATGCCGCCTCAGACATGGCTCTCGAATTCAGCCCTATGTCCATTACCCAAGCGCGGCGGCCACGCCTAACAGCTCATCACGGGCATCACTCTTTGTTCACTCAAGTGTGCAGCAAGCTGCAGAAGATGTGTCCCATCTGTGTACAGAAACTGCTGAATTTGCAGCATGCACGGTCATATTTCGCTCCTTTAAGATGACCATTGTGTCCGTATATATATGTCCTACTGGTCGCTTTGATGCGAACTGCATTAGTAGCCTACGTCTTCAATTTCCTGGTCGTCTCCTTATATGCGGAGATTTTAACGCACACCATCCTCTCTGGGGTAGTAAACGCACGACGCCTCGGGGTACGGCTCTCGCAGATGAGATTGAATCATCAGATTTGATTATTCTGAACGACGGCTCTCCTACATTTTTTGGTCATCGCGGAGAACCTAGCGTGCTGGACCTTACTCTCGCCTCCCCCAATCTAGACGTGTACTGGTCGTTGGACGCGGACACACGTGGAAGCGATCATCTTCCAATTTTGATGAATATACCCGAAGTGACCCGCCTCCCACGTCGTCAATACAGTGTAACCAACTGGGACGTATTTCGCGCAAATGTTCGCTTTCTTGAGCCGTCAGAGGATATATTAAAAGCTATTCCTGCATGTCTCGTTCAATCAACATATAAAATATCTTTAAGGATATCTCAGCCGTCCCCGGATTTGAAGTTCGTACGCTTACGTGCTGTTCGCCGCCGCACTCAGCGTCGTGCGCGCCGATCTGGCAAGGTCTCCCATTGGATAGACTGTCGTCGTGTTACGTCAGCTTTACTCCGTCACACTCGCGTACTTCGCCGTCGACAATTTCGTCAATTTGCTTCGTCATTAACTCCATGTACACCTAAGCCAAAGATTTACAAAGTACTGAGAGGTATGGGCTGCTCTCCAACACCTCGAGATTTGTTCATCGCCCTCAGTCTTAAAACTTGCCTTGAATTATCATGACTTGCAGATGATTTTGCGGTGCGCTTCATTGTACCCCAACGCCCTTCTGGATCTTCATATCCTCGATCACTGACTGGTCCTGCACGAAGTCCGGAGAGTATGGATCATCCTTTCACTATGTCGGAACTAGATGCGGCTCTTAGGAAATGCAAACGCCACAGTGCTCCTGGGTCTGATGGCATCACCTACCAAGCATTGCGTAACCTGAGTGACAAGTCACGCGTCGTCTTGCTCGAGCGCTTAAATTTGGCGTGGACTACTGGTATTCTTCCGCAAGAATGGAAGCATGCTGTAGTAACCCCCATTTTAAAACGAGGCAAGCCTTCGTCGGAATTGTCATCGTACCGCCCAATATCTTTGACCTCGTGTGCTTGGAAACTTCTAGAACGCTTGGTGCTTACGCGTCTCCAGTGGTACCTTGACGACATTGAAGCACTGCCACCTGAAATAGCGGGATTCAGAAGTGGACGCTGCACTGCTGACTGTATTGCGAGCCTTACATCAGCGTTGGAAGACGCTCGTTCACGAGGAGACACTGCTTTGGCAGTGTTTCTTGATGTCGAACGAGCTTTTGACTCGGTTCCACATGATGTAGTTCTTGCTTGCTTGAATCACCTTGGCATAACAGGAGGAATGCTAAAATATTTCCAAGAGTTTCTGAGCAACAGGACAATTAGTGTTTGCTTGGGCAAGACTACGGGAGCCGTGCATCCACTGTTGCGTGGGTTACCTCAAGGTAGTTGCCTTAGTCCAGTGCTATTCAACATCGTAATGACGACAATACCTTTATGCATGCATAAATCACCACACCCTAGTGGTATGATCATCTATGCAGATGGTATCTGTTTGTGGGCTTCCCATTCTGATCGACGCATTCTACGTCCCTTTATGCAAATATCCCTGGCGCGTGTTGCAAACATGCTAGAAGACCTCGGACTTTCCGTCTCAGCGCAAAAAACAGCTGTGCTCGCTTGTTCCCGCCGCCCCTTTCGTCATGGATTTCCGCGGCTTACTTTATGTGGGACTCGAGTACCGCGCGTGCGTAGCTATCGATACTTGGGGGTCGATCTTGATTCCCGATTATGTTGGCGTCGGCAAGTAACGAATCTTGTACGTCAGACGGCGATGACGACATCTCTCATTCGTCGACTTCGTGGACTTGAGTGGGGATCGTCCCCTAAAGCCCTACTATGCGTGCACCGGGCGCTTAACCTTTCCCGCATTCTTTATGCAGCGTCATATTTGCCGCCTACGCGATCTCTATGGGATCAGCTAGAACGATGCCACCGAGCCGGAATAAGAATGGCTTTTGGTTTTCCCTCGTACTCCCGAATCGATGCAACGTGGATTGAGGGCCGAGAGATGCCTGTAGCTTTACACGCTGTGAACCGTGCTCTTAAACATCTCGTTCGGCTTGCTGAGTCGACCAGTGGTGTCTCGCTGTTTACTGACATGCAACAGCGTCACCTTTCACAATATGGCGGTCACTGCACCTCTCTAGTTGAGGCTCTCGGCTTCATACCCTCCGTCCATTCTCCTCCAGTTGACTCCCCGTGGAGCAAGCACCCGTTCACCATCTACGAGGACATCCCGGGTTTCCACGGAAAATCACGACACCCCAGTGTGGTTAGTCGAGCCCTGACAGAGGAGGTGATGACGTCTCGGCATTCCTCGTTTACGGCCATTTATACTGATGGCTCTGTCGACTTCATTCATGATGTCGCGTCTGCAGCTTACCACATCCCATCGGAACCCTGCTCATGGTCAGGACGGTTCGACCATGCCGTGTCGTCGACTACAGCTGAGCTGAGTGGAATCCACGCAGCTCTTCTTCACATCACGACGAAACCACCTAATAACTGGCTTCTGGCAACAGACTCTCGGTGTGCGGTGCATAATATCCTCAGCAGCAAAGGCGCCAATCCTGATTTGGTTTGTGAAATAATTAGGCTGGGTCATCTACTTGTCTCCCATGGTTCTAACCTGCGAGTACAGTGGATACCTTCGCACATTGGCTTACCCGGAAATGAGATGGCTGACCATCTGGCCTCAACCGCTCTAAAACTGCCCACTGCGACGTTGAATCTCCCCAGCCACTCTGACCCAAGATTGGCTATTAAGACTTGGATACAACACAAGCATCCCGTTTCCAGTGTGGCGTCTGATGAACCTCCTCCTCCAGCTTGTACGCGTGGCCTAACACGGAAGTTCGCTTCTCTTCTCCACCGCTTAAGAGCAGACTGCGCGTACACGAAAGTGAACCTGCACCGCATCAAAAAAACAACCAGCCCCTTCTGCGAGCACTGCGATCAACCAGAAACGCTGATGCATATATTTTTTGAATGTGGACACTACAATACAGAAAGAACCGTCCTTCTAGCTTCACTGAAGAGCCTCGGTGTTTCACCCACCCTCGTGGATATGCTATTCCCCAAGGGTCCATCATCCACGTGCATACGTCTCCGAAAGACTGTGTTCAGCTTCTTGGATGCCTGTGGGCTTCTGGCAAGGCTGTGATGAGTGAGAAAATACGACCGCCGACTTCTCTTTTCGTGCTTGTGTGCCAGTGATAGTTTTTCTCGTGAAGTTTTCTGTGGGAATTTTGTGAACATTCTGTGATGCCCGCGTTCTAGATGTGCCCATTTTCTCACTTTTGACTGATTTTTTGCCGACTTTTTATTTTACTTTAATTTGTTAACTTGTGTTTCATCATCCTATATTTCTCATCACCATCTGTTCCCCCTCCTTTCCCGTGCATTCATTCTCATCAATACTGCAATAACCCAAGCCCGTGAAACTTTTCCACAGCCAGTGAGAAAAACCTCACGTCAGGCAAACACCACCACCACCACCACCACCAAGTATGATTAATTCATTTGCCTACTTTGGAATATTTTATTTTTGGAGACCACGTAAGATGATAAAAAGTGCCCAGGACATAGCCATGGCATATGCATATTACACATAGGATAAGTACCTCTCATATTTATAGTACTGCGAAACAATATACTGTATTTAGTCGTTGAGGAGATGAAGACAGTGGCGGAGATAGTGAAAAAACATTTCGGGCTTGGCGGGCCTTACATCCGTCCATCTTACAACTGGATTTGTGCGACCACATTATTTTCATTTTGTGCCACAAAACCTTAGCATCCTGTTTTGTGTTGGAAACCTTTGCAGGAGCGCAGCCTGTGCTTTCGATGAAGCTCCTGGAGCTGAATGCAAGCTTGGGCCAGGAGTACTGCAACACACTGCAGTGCGTCCATGGCACAGGCCCCTCGTTCAGCTACCTGGTTCCTCTGTCGCGCTACATGCCCCTTCAGTACGTCACCCTGCAGTTCAGGTCAGTCTTGCCACATGAGGGTGCTGGTCCTAGCCTCACTGCTCAACTTGCATGTGACAAAGAGTGGCTGTGGTCGCAGAGCACGGTGAGACTGCCAGGCTGGAACTGCCGGTAGTTTAGTTCAACCCCTTGCAGGTTTCCTCTTTGTCGGGGGGGTACCATGTAGGAACATGAGTACGTCTGTGGGTTCATAGAACAATGTGTTTCATGACTTGATACACCAACGCGCTTGCCTTCCGAAAGTATCGGCGCTGCTCAACGTCACAGGACTGCCGGTCGAACTCCATGCTGCCAGAACAGACAGATTCGCTGAAAGGGGAAGAGCCTCATATAGAGCTTTGCGGAGCAAGGCCCTCCCCTGACGAGAGCCCCAGTCGTTGTTTCGGGCCGACTCATATGCAGAACGCAATTTTTTCTGCCTCTTGCACAGGGGTTGCGATGATGTCAGAACGCCGAGCTCTTGTTGGCTAATTGAAAAGAACAGTGGGCAGACCTCGAGGCATCTAGCATTGAGGTCTACCCACTATCCTTCAATCAGAGCCAACCAGAGCTCAGCGTTCTGACGTCACCAGAACCCCTGCAAAAGAAGCAGACGAACTTGCGCTCCGTATGTCCTGCAGGTATGAACATGCCCGCGGGTTGTCGGAAGTAGGTTCGTCCCCTAGGAGGGGCGGACGCGTCTGAGTATTGAGGTCCCAAAGAGTGTGCCGGAGGCAAGTCACTCGAGAGGGGGAGGGACAGCCGTCCATGAGGACTACGGCCCGACGTCGCATCCGGAACGCGCCTCAACATGGCGACGCCCCACGGCCTGCCTTAGCGAGACCTGGATAGAGATGCGGGCAACACGCAGTTCCCACAACCTTTACGGCATTTTTGATTATGTTGCTAAGTTGTAATGCTGGCAGATGTAATAGAACAACTGACCTTTCGTAGCAGCAATTTAAAAATAAAAAGTGAAAACGAAATGTGACCCCACTACTGTGCAGAACTAGCATTCTAAAAAATATGTGCAAAGGTATACACACTTAAATTTTGCCAACTTATTGTGCAAAAACAATTAGCTGAGCCTTCTCGGTAACCTTTTTTGTTTTTATTGTTTATCGATATCTAGTTCTGTATGTACTATGCAAATTGACTGTATGTATTTTACCACAGTTATTTTTCTCTGGAGCCATTTAGGATTATAACTCATAAATGTGCAGCTGCACACTGCTCTCAAGTATTTCCCTCGTAAGCTACTTACCTTTGACATAGCTTCAGCATCTCGCGCACCTTGAGAGCACACGTGCGGCCAAAGCACCTCAAAAGGCAACGAGCACACACTGGAGGCCAGGTGTTTGAAATAGATGCCACTCTCACCTTGTCAGTGACTAGCATATCAATAACAGCCTAAAAGTTATGAGTCAAAATTTTTGTCAAAGAATCAAGCAAAAAAAATTGCAAACGACGACGCAAAGTGTGTTGCGACTGACAGCGGTAGCTGCTTCATTGTGGAAAGGCACGTTGAAGGAGATTTGCCTTTAGCCAGTGTGCTGTACGATGTTTGCAATGGGTTCATTGCTTTCAGTGAAAATTATGTAGGAGACGCGTGTGAGGAGATGCGTGCCTTGGTGGAACGACTATGCGAGATGTTGCGCGTTTTGGGGGAGGATGCAGAGACGCATTGTTGTTTGGAAGCGAAATGCTCTTTTGGAACGACAGTGCCCGTGACCACGTCTGCGGTGGAAGAACCAAAGTATGTGTGCAAGTTGTTCTGTAGAGGCACGAAGAGTGGGGAGGCGAGGGAGTGTGTCCGCATAATGCGACCATGCGGGTATTTCGCAACGGCGGCTGCCGGAGGTGTGCGGTGGGGGAGAGGAAGGGAGCAGGTTCTCCCCACGATCACTTGGGTTTTTCGAAACAGCAGCGGCCTACGGGAGAAAAAGGGGAGAAGGAGGCTGAGAGAGAGATCCTTGCCATACGTGAGGGATGATGGGGGAGAGGGAGAGAAGTGCCTCTGCTGTAGAGTGGGGTTTTGTGTTCGTACGCGAGCATTTGTCAGGAAGGGGCACTAACAGCTACTGCTATGTCGTGGCTTCTCTTTGCGAGATTCCAAGAAGGACAACATTCAAGGAAAGGGAGTAATGGTCGTTGGTACCTGCAGCCTGGTTGGGGTACACAAGATGGTGAGCTGCAGTCCCCCCGAGAAGCAGCTCTCCTGCCCCGCCCCGCTGCCGGGCCTGGAAGCACCGCCCCTGGCATCTTCCCCTCTGCAGGAACAAACCCACTGGTCCGAGGTGAGATACTCTCCACCGCTTAACGCCTGACACGAAAATGGATGCCATCGATCTAAAGCTGCTGTCAAAGAGCGTGCTAGCAGTGTGATGTTGCACGCAAGAACGTCTTTTTTTACGATTTGTTACGGTCTACTATATACTATCCACTTATGAAAGTGACAGTAACTTGATTATGAGCCAATGTGTGTTTTGGAACGCACCTCCCAGGAGGTGAACCCGTCTTGGAGGGTTCCCATCGGCCTGTTTCTGCAAAGCAGCTACAACTTCCGCATCATGAAACAAGGCGAAGACATCGATCAGGTCAGTGCTCACTTCGATGGCAACGTTGGCGGCAATACGAGCCGAAACAGTCGAGTGCTAGCTGAAGGGCTAATATGTCGCAAGGGGTGCCTCCAGAATGCTAGGCCATGGAAACTACTGCCACGCCGAGACGATAGGAATCGTGACTGTCCATTTCAACCTCTCTTTAAATTAAGAGCACACCTGGGTTCCTACATGGCAATTTTACTGTATCAGCTTATATTGCCACAGTGCCAGCTCATTCTGCTCGACCCTATACTACTTATTGTACTTTAGTATGGACCACTTGCATACTCGTGTTCAGCCCTTTATATGAAGTACTAAACACAGGCATGCAAATTACTAATACCTTCAGAGAAATGCTTCCACTGTGTAAGTATTTGTGAAATAGGACACATGCCATAGGAAGTTTGCCTTTTGCCAAAGACAGCTGCTGGGTACAGTCACGGTCAAGAGAAATACGAACAGTGGGGCAGCGACCCCGAATGGTACCTAGGGTACCACGTAGCAGCAGATGTGGGCAGTGCTTAAAATAAGAAACCAGTTCACCTTTTTCTTATTCGTCGCAACAAATTTTATTTTTGTGATTTGCCACCAATGGCGCTGCCTTTACGCTGTGTTCTTGAGTGGTCGGCTTGGAGAATGTTCCTTTATAGGAATTCGCGGTGCTGCAGCGACTTTTCATGAAGCCGCAGGAGCTGCATATTTTGACAGATTCCACTTAGTCATTCTATTAAAGCTGTTACAATTCCATTTAAAAGGGGCGTAATTCTCCAAAATTCCAGTGGCAATGTGACCTGCACACTATCAATGCAATAATTATGTTGCACTACAACCTTCACTGACCAAAACAGAAAACATGCAGAGAGATCACTCTGCGTGGCAGATGACAACGCTAAATTTTGCATGCTGTGATTTCCACCTTATCATTGGCGGCACTTTATGAAGAGTGGCAATTCAAGGGTGTGCCTACCATCAAGTTCCGCTAGAAGGTTCTGCATGCTCAGGAAGGCACACGCTCCGCTGTTCGTATTTCTTTTGACCGCGACTGTACTCGCTGCTGCTTCTCTGCGATGCAACAGAGCCAAGAAGAAAACCCATCTTTTCCGAACTGTGCACGCTTTGCTTGCCTCAACATTGCTCAAGCATGTATGTGAGAGACTCTTCCAATCTATTCTTGCTGTTCTTCTCTCCGTCCCGTTAAGCAAATTGTGTAAATAAAAAAAATTTAAAAAATGCTTTAAATTTTTTTAGTGAACTGTGGAGTAGCAAAGTGCAATAACCACTCTCGAACAATCTCTATTCTTTGCAGCCGTGCAGCCTACCACGAGCCAAGGCCGGTGAAGTGTTTTGGGAGTACATAGTCACCTTCCACAGGCACTGCGAAAAGTGAATGCAACGACACTCCATCGCAGAGCTGGGACAACCGTATGCTGCAACCTCGTTCGCCGCGCAATCGAGCGAGCGCAACCAACGTGCTGTCCCTCTGGCAAAACATTGAAGCAGTGTTACGTGGCCACGCACAACCCATCGTTCCGGGACCTTGCAAGTTTCGCGCAAGAGAGGCGCCGCACATGTTCCCGGGCATCATCCGCGCAGCCGTGTAAATAGACGAACTCCGAGAGACAATGGTGACGTGCGTGCATTCCGTCCAGACGTTTCGGTGCGAGAACTTGCGTCGCAGTAAGTAGCCACCAACGACGTTCGGGCAGAGACGGAGAGCGGTATTTATTGTCGCAGAGACCGCGGCGTCTTGCGGGGTGGATGATTGGGGACACGGGTCAGTTTGTGAGTGTCCAGTTAGGTGCCAAAACACCACCCACCGAGGAATTGTTTACCATATTTTATGGTGCATCTGATATGCCCCCCACCCCCCCATTGACGTGGAATTTAAGAAAACAATACTCACGTGTCGTACAGCCGGTGTGGAACACTGATCTGAACGGAGTAATGAGAACTTTCCTGTGAACAATTTTTCTGTGAGTTTGCTGCAACAGCAGAGTGTAGATAGGTTTGCCGACGCTCAACCGAGGGCCTTTATTCACTATAAGTCATTTAAGGTTATACTCTGCATTCCCCAAAGCCGACAGTGCAATGGAAGCCAAGCCTCTCCTTCACGACGTGATCACACCCACCCCCCCATACACCCACGCAGAAAGCGTGATCACATGATGAAAGATGGACGTACGAGTGGTCCTGCAAGTACACAGTTTCCACTGCACTGTCAGCTGAGGGGCGAAACGGAGTATAGTTCATTCTCCTCTGGAAAGAAAGTTCCCCCCTTAGCAACAACGGTATATTTTTTTTCTTCAAATGACGAACATCGAATAAGACACCAATGGGCCTTTAAAATTACCCCACATTGGGCTCGTCTGTTCAGAGATGTTCTTTGTTGAGTCGCACGCAAGCTAGGCAGCTCTAGCAATGAGATTACAGCTCGTGTCCCTCCTTGTCTGCCTCGCAACACGGTCGCGCGTCCCGGGCCAGCAAAAAGTCGTCGTAGACAACAAGCCCGATCTCGTCTGTCATCAGCCATCTTTCCTGGAGCACAGCATTGCGATCGGGCTTCGCAGGCGCCAGCGAAGAGCACAAACGCATTGTCCTCCCAACTTTCTTTTCGGGTGCCGTGTCGATGGTTTTCTTTTTTGAAAAGCTCCCTGGGGAGCATTTTGTCACGAATTATCTTCCGTCCTCGCACCTCAAACAGGCTGCGATTCAAATGCGTACGATACGAGACGTGAAAGCTCAACATATGGGACGTGGCAACGTGTGTTGTTGATGTACTTCTATGTGCAAAAAAAAGAAAACCTCTTTTTATCCCGTTCACGCTGCATGTTCCTTATTGTCATTGGAAACCCACTTTTCCCACCAGAAACTATGAACGAATGTGGTAGGGGAAACGCCCGTTTATTGACAACAGCCTCACACAAACAAGCAGGGTTTACACTGGCAAAGGATGACATTATCGAAAAACCAAATGAAGATTTAAAAACCTTTGAAAACGCACTGCCCCCTTTTTTCTCAACTTTTTTTAACGACGCTACTCCGTTAACATCCTTTTGATCATGAATACCAACACGCGATCGCACTACTACACAGCTTGTCAACACCGGGTAGGGGCTATATACACGACTTAGTCCCCAACAAATTACGCTTGAAACAAAATAAAATCATTGAACATTGTACTTTACAATGTTCACCACATTCTGTACAGCACGATGCAAACGATAAGTGGCTCTCCCTGCACACAGCTGAAGGGGGTTCGGATCTACACAAATACTCGTGATTGGAGCGCGAGTGTGTGAATGGCTTCAGCGGCCACGAAAATCTGATAGCCCCAGGTCTCCGTCGAACTTCAAAAATATTGCCTGGTAGCTTACATTAGAGACCCACAAAATGTCAGCATCTTTTAAACTCTACTCAGCAGCATACACAAGAGATTACCTCTGGAAACAGTACACCTCCACCAAACTACCGGGTGAAACAAGGAGACGGTAGGCTCTTTAAATCGACCGGAAAATTCGGTTTCTTAACCTATCGCGCTACGACTTTGTGCAGCGTTGCCCACAGATGGTGCACTTTTTTCGTAAAATTTGCAAAGAGCGAACTTACCTGGGGAAAAAGTAAAGAAAGAAAAAGGCTTAGCTCCTATGGAAACGCAGCGACGCCACCAGTCTGCAATCAACACGGCGCCGTTTCGCACGGTAGACAAGAGATGGCGCAAGCGGTCGCGACGCCAACTGCCGCCAACGAACGAGCAGACGACGCCGAGAACCGGCGTTTTTAGCAGACAAGGAACTGCAGTTGCTTGTTGTTACCGCGCCTGTTTTTGTTTCTGCAACTGTCGCCGTTTGCGGAACGCGCGCCGCTTTTGATTCGAAAAGATTGTCTGCTAAAAACGCTGGCTCTCGGCGCCGAATGCTCATTCGTTGGCGGCGTTCGTTGCGCCATCTCTTGTCTACCGTGCAAAACGGCGCCGTGTTGATTGCAGACCGGTGGCGTCGCTGCGTTTCCATAGGAGCTAAGCCTTTTTCTTTCTTTACTTTTTCCTCAGGTAAGTTCGCTCTTTGCAAATTTTACAAAAAAAATGCACCATCTGTGGGCGACGCTGCACAAAGTCGTAGCGCGATAGGTTAAGAAACCGAATTTTCCGGTCGATTTAAAGAGCCTACCGTCTCCTTGTTTCACCCGGTAGCCTCCCCCCCCCTTGTCCCTCCTCCTTAATCTAAACTACAGTCGGGTACAAGTTAAGAATTAGCCAGAAGCCCCTCCCACACCCCCATTACCACCAGCCACTAATCCTCCACGACGCGCGAATAGTCCACCACCAAGCCGACGGTACAGTGGCCTAGAATGAGGTAGTGGGCTCACCACGCCCGCTTGCCAAGGATGTTCACGTTAAAATTGAGAGATGGCACATTGGTCGACTCCTACTGAAGCTTTCCCATGCACTTTTGCAATCGCGTGCCTTGTGAGCGTCGGTGTTTTCTTCGTCGAATAGCTGGGAAGATTCCGAAAAATCATAGGAACTCCGTCGGCCGAAAGCATTGGTTTCCCACACTGAACGCAAACATCTTCACCATTGATGACAAGCACGTAATCTCTAATTACGTACTGTGGTTCAAAATGTAATTATTATTATTATGTTATTATCCCACAGTTTTTGCCACTCCTTGTTTTCAGGTACACCGAACAAAGCCACCTTTGGCGCGTCCTTCACGCAAGCATATTCTGTTCTACAACCAGCGATTAGGCATTCTTGCATTTGAGTGAAAGAGCAAAACCGCAAGACAACAGTAATCACAGTGACCACACGGCAGAGGCATGCAGACGAGCACACAGAAACTGCAGTCACTGACTCAACACCGAAGCCGAATGCAAACACATGCACCCACACCAGGGGTAGCCGATGTGCATCACGCTTCAGGAGGAGTAGACAGAAGCGCCCCGTCGGCCTCCGACATAGACCGCCTCACTTCCAAGCACGAGCAAGAGAGGGCGGTCAGCTCACTACCCCATTCTAGGCCACTGTACCGACGCCATGTAACTCGTTGCGACTGCAGCCTGTCCTGCTCGATCTGCGGAGTGATTTGATACCGAGGCTGGTATGCGGCAGCGTTTCTTTGGCGCATTCTCAACTTCTATCCGACCGTAGTAGAATTTTGTGACCCTTTAAACTTCTAGTCTCGTTGCTTCGGTGCATGCACTTTCGAAGGTAACCTTACGGCCCCACAACTACGATAGAACACATACATAAATTACAAAACGAAACGGAGGCAGGCGTTCCGACAGCTACCCCAACAGCTCTCGCTCTTGCGCGAGAATGAGTCGGGGGTTAGCCCGGGTCCCGCAAAGGCGGCTAACTGAAGTCCCTGTCCGGCAGGGCGATGGGAGCCAGCAGGGTCCAGAGGTAGAGTGTGGCACAGACCCAGCTGGACACCATTTTGATCCACATGGAGGCGCTGTTCTCGATCAGGTTCTTGGGGTCGTCGCTTGGCCTGGAGCAGAAAAGAATGATGCTGTCTCGCCTGCGTAGCTATAGCAAATTAAAACTGCCTATACTTTTCTCAAACTTCAAGGGAAACTGAAGCGGTTCTGTATTTCAGTAAAAACACTTATATCGTTTCCATTTACCCTCCAGGATCACGAATATCGAGATTAATTTTCTATTTGGTGCACGGAGGCTGCAGAAAATCATTTTTAAAGTACCACCGAAGCCGCCCCTTCCCGGAGCGCTATGTCATAAGAGGAGTGTCCGGAATCTCCGCTCTTGCACATCTTCGACACCCATCGAAGCTATGCACGCGCACTCTTGCTACCTTCAAAAAGGTCAGAAAAAGGCGTCATGACTGATGTCAGTGCCAAAGAATATGGCTGGCAAGCTTGCAAACGCACGCGTTGCCCACATGAGCGACACGCGCTTGGCGGCCGAGAGAACCTTTTACGACGTAACGACTTGTCGGACGTTTTCCGTGCTTTCTCGCGTCTAGTCACATCTTCGAGGAAAACGAACATGACATTCAGATTTGTAGGATAAAAATACTCTAAAATTCATTTCTAACTTCTTTTTTTTAAGAACCTCTTCAGTTTCCCTTTAACTATATGGTCACAAACAGAGTGAGAATGGCGGGGCTAGTCTTTCGAACGCCCAGCCTTCGGCATGCACTCCTTAGCTTCTGCCGAGCCTCGGCTGCGTTCGGGCGCTCGAGGTGTACAAGAGATAGAAGGTGGAAAGCTTGCGCTGGACCCTGGACGACTGAAGCTCACCCTCCCCGTCACTCTCACATTGTAGGTAACTGTGCACCGCGTAAAGCGGGAATTCTTGAATTTGTTGACGTCGAGAAATCCCTCCCAGTTTGGGCATTGACGAAATGAAGCGGTGCAGAAGCCGACAGACCTTGCAGACAACAATGCACGTCCTAGGGACTGTTTGGCTCATAGTCAATGCGTCGGCGAGCGGCTCGGGTCGACCTTAGACCAGAGAAATGCTTAGTGGAAGATCTTGGAAGTAAAGTTGGTGCGAAAGACAAAGACAAGAAGGCTGGACAGCGGGACAAGCGCTATAGATTTCAATTGACGTCTTAATGCGAAAATAGAAGAAAAAAGAAAAATGTTAAAAATTAAAACTGAAAAAAAAAAAAAAAAATCTGTAGTAAAAAGAATTGTCCAAATGTAGCTTGAATTTTTATAAAGAGATTGTTCCCGACATAAAAATTAATAGAAATAAAAAATACTATATTTTCAAAATCTATAAAAAAAACCGAGGCAAACAAAGTTTAGAAAAATTACTGCCACTACTCTGGGGAACCTCTATACTTCGTGTCACGGCTTGTTTGCCGTGCAGGCGAAAGCAACGCCAGGCGAAGAGAGGAAGGGTGAGCACTAGGAAAGTGGAACGGGGGAGGAGGGCAAGGGGAGAAAGGGAGAGCACTAGGAACGGTAGAGAGGAGAGGAGGTTTCTCTCTTCTGCCCCAGCCTTTCCAGCGCTCGCCCTTTCTCCCCTCGCCTGGCGCTGCCTTCGCCTGTACTGCATGCAACTAGTGACACGGAGTATAGGTTCCAAGAAATTGGGGGGGGGGGGTCCCAGAGTATTCTTGTGGGCTTCTTGCATGGCTTTCTTTCGTGCCGCACCACCCTGAACACCACTGGGCCAGCCCGTATCGCTATGCCCTGTACTATATGCCTGTCCAGAGGGTGTAACCGCACTCACTGGAACCAGTTGGTGAGGGTCATCATGACGTAGAGGGTGGCCAGGGCAAACATGAAGTGGAAGAAGGACCAGCTGTAGGCCACCCCGTCGTCCTCGTTGTCCCACACTTTGGCCTCCACGTCGCCCGCGGTGCTCGTGTCTGAAACCACGCACGCCAACCTTTGGGTGTGTGCCCACAAAGCGTACCCTTCCCCGAAACGAGCCGCGAAAGCCGCGCCCAATCGTAGACTGCGGCTTGCGCCGCTTTCTTACGGTCTTTGATGTTGGTGAAACCTGGAGCATGCGTTTTTGCGCAGGAAAGACAAGTTTGGTTTAGGACCTCATCCGTCTTCGTCCTGTCACTCACTAGAGCAGCACGCAAATATTGGCACGAAGCACATAGCACTTTGTCGCTTGTACCCAAGGCTGTCCACAATGTCCCGTCTTCTTTGCACTGTGGAAGCTAAGGACGACAAAGCCCCATTTGATTCGAGTCGCTAAATGTGCACCTCCGCATGCCATTAAACTTGAAGCTCGGAATAAAGGAAGCGTAGGATGCAAAGTTTCTATTCTGATCGTTCTTGTCGGTGATGTTCCTTATGTTCTGGTCAAATCAGCTCGGAAGCTCCCTTAAAGCAGCCATAGATTTTCATGAAAACTGGACATACGCATCTCAGTTACCTTTATATATATATATATATATTTTTGATTTTTTAATTTTGAATATTTTTTTAGGCTAGGAAACGAAATCCCCCATATCATCAGACAGTGGCATGCACAGACTACACTCTATGCGGACCTTTCGTACGCCGAGGCAAAAGTTGAGAACCTCCAACCGAGAGCTTGGGAGTGTAGTCCCGCTACAGAAAGTTAGGAGTCTACACTAACGTGAGACTAAGATATTCATCTTTAGGCTTTTTCTCAATTTTCCCCAGAGACTAAAAATCGGCTTCTTCCTTCAGATAAATTTTTCTCAGTTATTTGTCAAACGTTGAACGAAATAACGCAGGGTCCGGCAGCTAAAGTAAGCACTCCCAAAAAGTCCGCAACGAGTCCATGACAAACTGCGCAATCAGCTTCTGCACCGACCCTCGCGCTACAGCCCGACGGGCGCCGTGCACTCTATCGCTTGCAGCAAGCGAGCCCAAAGCCAAATCGTCCTACGAAAGGCCAACACCGTGCCAGCTGCAAAAACTATCTAGGGAACGGCGAGAAAAGAAGAAAGAAGGCAGAACAAAAGCGACGTGTCATTACCTTCATTCCCCACGAGAGCAGACGACTCTGCAGACGAAGTGCGGAAAGGGAAGAGAAAAGGAAGGGAAGAGTGTCAGTAAAACCACTCCTACAGCATGCAGGTGTGTGCCACCCCAAAAAGCATCCCCCTTTCCCTTTTTTTCCCTGTATGTCTATCTCCAAACAAGTTCTGCCCTCCTTTTCTTTTCATCCCCGACAAGCACAGCAGTCGGCACACTGACAGCACAACGTGATTACCCCTAAACACATGAAGCACTATAGTCACTTGAACAGTGAGAACGGCAGGGCATGTTTTTCGAACATTGGTCTCCGGCACGTGCCCCGTACCTACCGCCGTGCTTTGGCTGCGCGCACGCGTTTGAGGTACACAAGACGTTGAAGTGCTGTCGAAGGTAGGAAGCTCACGCCAGAGACGGGGCAAATAAAGCTCCTCCCTGCCATTATCACCTTGTCGGTGCCTACGGGCATATACGTAAGAAACATCTCCTTTCCCAAGGCAAGCGCCACTGAACAAACTCAATATCAAAGAAATGGCAAACAGCACGAGAGACGTGCCTGGGAGATGGTATAAATCGACACGCGGGCTTGACGTCACGAAGCTGCGGCGGCGCTGCGATCGCGTCGGAGCCAGTTGGTGTGGGCAAAAGGGCGTACGTTTCGCATGGGCGTCATAGCATTCCAGCATGCCGCAAAGCTGTTTTGCCGTTAATTGCATCGAAATGTACAAGAAAAGTAGCGGAGTGAGTTTCCACAAGTTCCCGGCAGACTCTGAAAGGCATATATATAGAAGGTGGATAATATCCATGGGTCGAAAAGAATGGTCACCTCGCGCGAAAGACCGTTTGTGCAGTAAACACTTTTTTTAAGGCAAGTGCGGCTTCCATTTCAATCTCCGTCCCGAGGCTTGCTTATGTGCAGGGAAACCGTTGTCTGATCAAGACCACCCGGATTTTGTTCCCACGGTGTTCGTGGCCAAGCGCTCGTCGGAGGCTCGCTACGCCCGTGCTACCCAACAGAAGGGGATCGGCGACAGAACGGCAGTGTTGTAGGCGTTACCGAAAAAAAGTAACGAAATAACGTTACTCGTTACTTGCAAATAAAAGGTACGCGTTACTGAGCTACGTTACCTAAAAATAAAAGGAATGTGTTACCGCTACCGATAAAAAGGAACACACGTTACTTCTGCATTACTTTTTAAATTATGATTTAATACGTTTTACGGTTTTCACGATACAGGTACGCATAAGCTCATATATCAAGAAACATTATGTTCATGCAGAAACTGAGTATAATTACTCTATCTCTTTTTACGATTTCACCTAAATACTCACGAGAAAAAACGCAAGGAGAAACATGGCTTGACGCCTAAAAACATGGAAAAAATTGAAGTGTAATTTTTTAAGACTTGGGAAGTAGTAACGAGTAACATAAGTATGTTACCCGTTACTGTTTTTGAAAAAGTAACGAGTAGGTTACTACGTTAATGAAAAAAGTAACGCGTTCCTGGTAACGCCGTTACTTGTAAAGTGTTACCGCCAAGACTGCAGAACGAACAAAGCGTTACCGCTTGTCATGCCTTGTGGTCATGAGGGTAGGAAAAATATCATTCCTTGACTTCAAGACGCTGTGTGTATTTAATCAATTATTAAATACACTTCGGTCACCCCACAGTCTGCTGATCCCGCCGGCAGTGCGGAAACCGACTCGAAGCAATCGTAGGCCTCGAGAGACTTTTACGCCTGCACCGTGCGGGTCGTAAACTGGCTTGGCGAAAAAACTAAAAAAACGACGACGTGAGCCGTCGACTTCGGTGGCAGCAACTTCGTGTCGGAAGTCCAGCAGACCTTGTTTATGGCGTACGGATCCTCGTAGGCAACGCCATCCAAGCACAGTTTGTTTCGGTACCGCTGCCGTTCAGGCTCGGGTAGCGAGCTCAAATAGTCGGGCATAGCATACAACATACGTTGTCAGGAAATACGATGCACAAATAAAGCTAGAAGCGTCCCTACAACGTCAACAACGAGCGCACAACGCAATGGCGAAAACACGGAGAGCCGGGCCTTTTTGCCCACATAGCTACCGTGCATGCACGGCCTTCCGGCCGTGTTGGTAAACAGAGCCCCTTCGCGTGTTGGTCTATAGATACGACTTTGCCAATAAAGTTTGGTAGCTGCGTTTGGGACGTTTTGCATTTGTCCCCTTTTTTCATCCGTAGTATCCTTTTTTTTTTCAAACGTGTGTGGCATAAACTAATTTGCTAAGCTTCAGTTACATCTTCCCACATGTCCTAGCCCCTCAGCCGCAGACCCAAGATCATTCTAGTTCACATTCGCGTCGGGTGACACTGGCCAGTATGAAACAACGTGCCAGCAAAACGTGACAAGAACCATAAGGCAATCGAAGGCGATAATGTTTGAGTGCCAATGGATACTCCGTGTCACTAGTTGAGTGCAGTGCGGGTGAAGGAAACGCCAGACGAAGAAAGAAAGGGCGAGCACTAGGAAGGCTGGATGGGAGAGGAGGGCAATGAAGGGCAAGTGGAGAAAGGGAGTACTAGGAACGTTAGAGAGGAGAGGAGGTTTCTCTCCTCCTCCCCGGCCATCTTAGTGGTCGCCCTTTCTCCCCTCACCTGGCATTGCCTCCGCCAGTACTGCACGCAACTGGTGACACAGAGTATAGTAACCTATTTAAGCCATGTGCGTGTAATTTAAGAGAAGGACTGAGAAAGAAGAAGACAACAGCACAAAGAACTTTTGCGGAACCATCACTCAATAATCACTTATCAATATTGCACGTAAGCAATCCTCAAAATGTGAAATCGAGAAAGTTGTATCGTAGCTGGTGTAGCTCCTTTAAAGCTACGCTGTAAAACACAGGGAAGGTTACACTAACATCGGCATAGCTTTTCTAACGCTGCATCCAAAACTTTATCCAATTTGCACTGAAACAATTACTGCCGTACCTCGCGTCACCCAACGACAAATCACAGCCAGAGCTATGGACCGCGAGTTCCAATTACCAGCTAGTTTGAAAGCATGCGGTATATTGCTCTAACATGTACCCGTGTGGGCATCATTGAACACTAACACGCACATCAGAGCAACATACCCCGGTGTTTCTAACCAACTAGTGGTTAGACCCGGCAAACTGTAGCTTGGGCTGAAGTCCACCGTAGACAGGGCATATGAATGTCTACACTGGCCCAATGTCGGGGCAAGATATGCCCAACATCAGGCAGTGATTGGTTCAACAGCGGGCTAAAGGTGGCCCAACATTGGGCCAGTGTTCATCCTACCATAGTCCAAGGTTAACCCTTTATAGGGCCAGAACATGGACAGGGGTCGGCTCTACATTTGATTAAGAGCGGCTCTACGCTGGGTTGAGATCGACCTGATATCGGCCCAAGGTATGGATGCATGCAGAAGGCCTCACGCTCACTGTTGTTGCCAGTGTCCTTGACCAGGATCTTCTCGGACATGGTGAGCTTGCCCACTTGGGAGTTGGACGAGGTGCGGATGCTCGAGTAGAGCACGCACACAAACCACACCACCAGCCCCACAATGCTTTGCGTGTCAAACTTGCTGCCTTCCTGGGTCAGCCCCAGAGATGGCTTACAGTCCTTGCCTGTCGACGGAAAGATGCCTTAGAAACTTCTGCGACAGTTCGCATTTACAAATTACGGATAGAAGAAGTTAACCCTTGTATATACCAGAGTCATACTATGTTGGTAAACCAATACGGTATACTAGATAACAGAAAGTATAAAACAGAGAGGAAGAAACACAGACGAGTACGTTCTTTCATCCTCTCTGTTTTATACTTTCTGTTATCTAGTACATCTTACCAACACGCTCGTTAGGAATACAATATGGTATGCACCTCGTATGTGCAAGATCTAAGTGCTTGTATTTTTTATTAATTTTTTTGCTGCAGATATCCGCCACTTAGAGGTCTGTACATATGCCTCGACAGACCCCCTTAGAGCCGAATGCCCTTGCACCACCTGTGTGTGCCTTTCCACGCCCTGCTGGAACCACCTTTTGGGAGTGCCTCACATGTATGCCTGGACTGCTGCGTCCAGCCTATATACCACCGCGGAATGATGTCCCCGCTCGGTTTCTTTTTATGCCACCCAACAAGTGATAACCACTTAAGGCACGGTCAGGTCATATTTATGCACGGCCAAACATCCGAGTGGTTGTACGACGTGTCAGAAGGACGGCCAAACCCAATCAGTCACCGGCCAATCACAGGCTCCCGTGAATGCGCACAACGCAGTGACAGACCTGCGCCCGATCGGGTTCGGCAGTTTTCTTACATGTCGGCCAACCGTTCGGGGCTTGAAATTTAACACTGTCCAAAGTAAAGCTGGTAATTTTAGATGATACCGAAGACGTGCGACAGCTGCATAAAGTGAATCGTCATACTTTAAATATATTTTTATGAAGTGCTAGCATATCCTTTTTGAAACTTTGCTCTACAGTGCCAGGGATTCTCAAACTTTGTGGTCTCGCAAAACCCCAGGAAGCCTCAAAAATGGTCGCAGAACCCTCCCCCCCCCCCCCCTTTATATTTGCCCACCGAAAAGCAACAGATGCCCAATTGTAGACAATTTTGCTTGTGTTGCTTCCCCAATATCCCCGCCATATCAATCGCGATGTCAGTACAAAGTGAGATGAAGGTGCTTTGCATGGTCCTGCCGCGCACCCTGCGGCATGGGGGGGGGAGAGGGGGTTGCAATATGGGTGTTCGCGAAACCCATGAGACCAGCCCGTGGAACCCCTGTGTTCCCCGGAACCCAGTTTGAGAAGCCCTGCTCTACACTACAAGATAGATTTCATTAGTACAGCCCTAAACTTTGCAACAGGCTTGGAGCATAAAGGTTTCAACTGCCTTCAAAAAGGAAAACAAAAGCACCAACCAGAGCAATGCTAGCCTAATTATTTTGATGTAATTAATTACTACTCAAACACTACACCTAACATTAGTGATAAAATTACTAAACCCCTTTTAATCCGACTATAGAGCCACTCTAGTGGTTCTATAGTCGAATTAAAAGAAAAGAAAGACACACACCACGTGAAAAACACTAAAATATGGGCATGTCCCATCAGGGCCTTACTTGTGGTGTTGTTCATGGCAGACCAAGTGAGGTACATAATGTACAAGGTCACAGCAGACGACTGTAGTAAGCCTGAACTAGGCTGACCTGCAAAAGACGAGTCGTTTTCTTCAACCTCAAATGCTACACTTTTCCAAATGCAATAGTTTGTTTTTGAAACACACTGTACTTGTTTTCATCTCAAAAGCCATAGTAAGAAAAGTCTGGCTCCTCAAGGAGCACTACTAATTTCCCCCTTTATCTAGAAAATTAAGATATATGTAGCTGCATTTTAGATTAGATATATGTTATCAACTTGTAAGAACTACTTCGTGCAGCACATGAACAATGTGCAAAACTTCCTGTTTTCTTCGGGTGAAAACGAGTAGTATAGCCGCTACTCTGCAGCTGGTAGCATTCATACCATGTCATCATCAATTTGCCTTTCTTTTTGTGTGCATAAGCAGCCAACGATCGACAAGTGGCACAATCTATACTAATCTAGGTAATATATAAAGAAGGGGCACAGACTACTGACTTAAAGGGGCCCTCCGGAGCTTTCTGAGATCGTCTGTTTATGTGGTTATATTGCGTAGTAGGTGCAAGTTAATATGTATGCAGAGTTTTAGATTATAAAACCATTTATTAAGCAGATGGCAGTAGAAATATATCGGGACTATTTTCTCTTGGAAGACGATCCCCCATTCCCAGCCCATCGCTAAAACTTGACCAATGGAAATGCTGCATCTCGTGGTGAAAGCGAACGTTATTATCGCAACACTTTTTAAGCTTGTTGTAAATTAGAGTTTGAGAAAAACATAAACTGATTGTGGTGCGAGAAACATAGTTCGCAATTATCGTTCCAAAATTAGCGAACTATGTTTTCTCCCCGCAAGCTTGTTGCTAGGGTGTGATGCGTCGGAGCGTCGGGTTGTCTGCTTCCCGGGGCGTGTGCAGGCGTGCGTTGGCGGGACACGTGTTCCTTCTTCCCGTGGATCCCGACTCCGAAGCCAGCTTGGCGATCTTTCTACGTCAACGAGTCAAACTTTTCCTTGTCATCTGTGGAATGTGACTGCGTATTGCAGTAGCAGCGCGACGGTGCGGTGCCATGAACGACAACTGCCGAGCACAAAGTCCGGGCTCCTTGACGACGGTATGCGCTTGTTCGAGAGATTCCTCCGCGCATCGGCGGTCGGCCGCGTTGGTGACCCGCAGTGAAGCCGGAATCGTTAGCTTGCTATTGGCTGATGCGTAAAGAGACGCCCCTCCCATTTTCCAAGGTCATCTCAGAAAAGGGGGCGTGCCTGGGACTTTGATAGCAATTTTAATAGGGAAATCGGCTGCGCATGACTGTAATTTTATGATTTTTAGGATCGTTAGGGCCCGTAGATTGAGTTACCGCCATAAATAGACCATCGGAGAACGCTCCAGAGGGCCCCTTTAAGACGTGTAGCAAAAGTCAACTATGAAAATGCAAGTGCAATTAAAGTTATAATAAAGCAAACATGGGGTTGGACGCTCTAGGTTTTATATGTCTCTTTTTATTGCTTTCCACATATAAAGAGCTCCCCGTAAATAATTGGTCACACAAAAACTGTAATAAGAGTTCCCTGTGCATACATGATAAAATGCCTCTCTTTTAAAGCGCCCCTGAAAAGAAGAAAACATTTTTTTTTTTTTTATACAATCTGGTTGAGACATGCATGTCAAAAAATTAATTTTAAGCAAAAAAAACAACAACAAATGTTTAGAGCAATATTGACGGCGAGATTTGTCTGAAATTCTGGGCGCGAAGTCCATGACTTCACTGGTCATTTCGGAATGACCATCTCGGTCGTGATGGCAAAGCCGATCTAGCTCTCCTCCACACACCTGAAATGCCGAGAAAAAAAACAAGTGGAAAGGAGGTGACTGCCGACTATATCGCATCTTGTGCCGTCAATATTCCTCTAAAAAAATGTTGTTATGCGTAAAATTTATTTTCCGACACGCGTGTCCCGATCTGTTTTAAGAAAACTTTTTTTTCTTTTCGTTTTTTTTTTTTTTTTTTTTTTTTAATAGTGTCTTATTCCATACTCATGGCTCTGTTTCAGTAGAGCTTTTCTCACCAATAAAGACAGCCTTTGGTGGATCTGGCTCCAAAGCCAGAGGAACCTCGGGCACCTCTGGCTTTGGATGTGGCTCGACGACAAAACAACGAATTTGGGAGTTTTGCGCGCCAAACCAACAAAGGGTAGCTGACACGCCTCAGCGGAGGACTGGGGATTAATTTGGACCACCTGGGGATCTTTTGATGACATGCAACCAAAAGCCTTACTCATGCAATCAAAAGCCTCGTTTCCATGGCACCTTCTCCGCAATAGGCCTCAGTCACATTGCAGGCATCTCGGCTGAGATTCAAACTGAATTTAGCGCAGTGTTCATTCTATATTGTATTATATTATTTGTCAATCCCCCCCTTCCGCCCCTTTAGGTAAAGCCCCTGTGGGCATTTGAGGATGAAATAAGTTTTAAAAAATAAAGGAAAGGCAGCTGCATTCAACTACAACAGACTGAACCAATGAAATAGGAAAGAAATTGGCTCCAGCCCAAATTTAATTTGGTGCGTCCGTTTTCTGGGGGCAGAATTTGTGCGAGAAAACTGGATGTCGATGGAAACGACAGACCGTTTACAGACTCTCGTCACAACCTGACTTACATTCTTGGACCTTCGGCAGGATGGAGACGACCGACAGGATCACGCACAGGATCAGGTTGAAGCTGATGAAGAACTTTTGCAGTCCGCAGGACTCTCCCTGCAAGGAGGACGCGGATGGCGTGGGCATCATCTAATATGCACCGTCTGGGGACGCTCCTTACTCTTAAGAAGTTTGTAGGTGCCATCAAAAGAAAGGCCAATGATGCAAACGACGCAATAAACCAACTATTGACACTATTTTCATGTATTTAAGAATCAGTATGGCTCATTGTTTACTGAACCATCAAAAAAACAACTGATAAACTGCAAACCAGCTATCGCTAACCAGAAAAAAAAAAATTACGAGCCTGTTTAAAAAGCACTATTACTTATAACAAGCAAGGTTAAATTAAAGGGGTCATGAAATGATATCGGGTTGAAATATTCGTGACTTTGCAGAGGTGTAGTGGTCCTAGTCTGGCCGAAGTATACTCGCATGGACTGCCACCGATTCAGAAGCTTCTATGTTGCCATGAAATTGCGAGGATAAAAGGGGACTATTTCTTTTGGTATTGCCTTCGCAAAGCTCGACGACCATATTTCTCCAATATTTTTGGCGACTGCCATTGCCTAGAAAACAAAACTAAGGCAAGTTTATTCAGTTATTGACTTTATGAAGCGATTTTAAATAGTATTTAGCAAAAGCAAAAAACTTGTTTCATGACCCGTTCAACAATAAAATGCAGGCAGTTTTTTTTTTTTTTTAATGCATAAAAGATATGCAGATTAAAGGTGCTCTGGGACTACTCAATGGACAGTGCCAGCAAGCTATCTCGTAAGCCGCCACAAGCAGCAGCAGTATGGGCGTCTGTCGGTTCCTCCACGCCCCCGGGTCTAAACTCACCTGGGTGTAGAAGATGTAGAACAAGACAACACCAGCAATGGCCAAAGCATAGTGCAGCATGGTGAAGGTCAGCAGGGCTGCAGCGAGGCAAAAGGACATTCGAGAACATTCGCGCACCGCCCTGCTAAACCTCAACGCTAACGTCCAAGTTAGGCGCAACTCGGGAATCCCCGATGTCTACCACGTAAAGTCCATCCCTAAAAATCCCAATCACGAACGCACACATCTCGCAACAGCTCAAAGTCCGTGGACAGTTACACGGGGTGACAAGGGAAAGGTGATACAGCTCGATAATAAGCAAAACAGAAGAAAACTGAGTGTTACATGTGTCAAAATGAACGAGTGCAGGCAGCGGAGCATAAATGCAAATTTAACCTCGTATTTTACTTAGTTGGGAAAACATTAGGGCAGATTTGTATAAATCACCCCACAAATTAAGTTCAGAAACATATAAGGTGCGGGCGATGTTGTACTGCATCCCGAAAAGAGACTCAGTTTGGACGCGCCACTGAGGCTTGGGTTGTCGCCTGCCTCTTGCGCGGGAGTCGCGGTGACATCAGAACGATGCCGAGCTCCGATTGGTTTTAATTGAAAGGATAGTGGGTAGACCTCAATGCTAGATGCCTTGAGGTCTACCCTCTATTTTTTTTCAATCAGCCAATAAGAGCCTGGAATTGTGACATCATTGCAACCCCTGAGCAGAAAGCAGACGAACTTGCACTCTGCATTGGTTGCGTCTCAGCGTCGGTATTCAATCATAAACCAAAACTGTGCAGGTCCATCATAATGGCTGCTGCTCTCTGACAACAGCCAATGTATATGTACACATCTGTAGAGAGGAGGGCACTGACCGCAATACCATCCCTTGGAGTGGGTCTCCTCGAACTTTTCCACCCAGTTGTTCGCCCAGCTGTGAGCAAAGTCGATGATCAAGATCAGCTGGATCAAGATGAAGAGGAAGCCGCCAATCATGCCGAAGTACATCCACACTGGAATCGGATCGGAGAATGAAGAGTGGAGAAATAGGTACAGTAAATGCAATTCACAACAAAGAGAAGAAAAACCTTTATACGTAAGCTTTGTCCTTCAAGCTCCGTCATTTCTTTTAGTTAGAGAAGTGAACCATTATAACGGTTATTACAAAAGAGTAGACTATTGCGTGGTGCAAAGTGTGCAATGTAAACTTATAAAATCCCCAGCTTTTAGCTTTGCAAAAGCAATTGGATTTCTAGAAAAAATATATCGAAAAATATTGATCCACTTGATAACATGCCCAATGCGGTATTTAACAACTAATGTTGCCTATGTTGCTTTGTGCACAATCGCTAAGGCCAAAACCACTCACAAATATACATTCAATCAATCAAGCTACTACAAATAACCATACAATGAACAGAACCAGAAATAATGAATGGTACATTCCAGACACAAATGAGTGCAGACTAAAACGCAGCGTTTTCAACATGCACCCTACTTATAAGGTGCGCACACATTTCACTTTTATGACAATGTGTGGAAACCAATCCCCGCACCCACCTTCACCGAAGAGAGCACCGTTCGGAATGAAGAATGCACCGACCATTGCACCGATGAGAACGAGGAATTTCAAGGCCCAAAATCTGGACAAAAAGGAAACAATTGTGACATTAAATAATGTTTTTATACTGCATCTCACCCTAGCGTGGACCGCTGCTAAAGCTACAAGCGTGAGGGGGTAGCTCTGGCGGGTGCTTTCACTTCATATGTGCTCGTACAACGGAGGTGTCTTTTAGAAACTAAAATCCAAAAAGAACAAACTTTTTCTTAAAAGTGCTTGGATGAAAAAAATTTTGGCACACTATTTTTGTCATGAGACTTCTTTTGAGTACTGCAACATGTTTCCATTTGCAGGGTGTCTAGCAAATTATTATTTTGAAATTCCCTGACTTTTACAGGTTTTCCCTGACAATTTCAGGTGAAAGTCCCTGACCACTGTAGATAAAGGTGAAATATATAAGACCATTACAACACAAGGCATTGAGCATTGAGCACTGTGAGCATCATTTTGCACAGGCTTAATCCAACTTGCATATACCAAAATATTCGGGCTCGTCCAGTCCGGATTAAACAAACACTTTCTTGCCGCCGACATCGTCAGTGAAGAGGGCACTTCCGCAAACACAATGAAAACACGATGCTCAACCACACACGTCAATGACCGAATGGCAGCAAGGTCGCCAGACGCACACTTTCAGATACTTTCCGCTTAATGCTTGAATTGGATTGGGGTCTGCGGCTTTCCCATTTGTTACTAAATCTAGTAGCTCTAACTGGGTCAAGCGTAGTGTCATCCCCTCAATCCAATCCAGTCCAATCCAAGGCTTGGACTAGGTTTGTCGGCTGTTCCCTTTGCATCGGGTAGCACACTCTACACCGGGTGAGCAGAGCTCGCGCTCCTCTCTAAGCAGAATTTATTGCCTATTTTTCTGCCCCCAAGTCCTCAAGTCTTTGCTCAGGGCACTCGATGGCATTTCCGGCTCATTTTCCCTGAGTGGGCTCGCTTTCTGGCGATTCCCTGACTTTTCCCGGTAATTAAAAGTTCCGTGACAATTCCCGGTTTTCCAGGTTATCCCGGTCGCTAGACACCCTGCATTTGGTACTTCTTTTTCATAACACCGTACCAAAATAGAAGCGAGTTTCTAAATCGCTTCTCACTCAAAACAAATCAATATAGATACTGCGGTGAAAAAAAAAATTTTTTTCAGGCCAAGTTCATTTTTGTAACAGACTCTGCCGTCCAGGCGCATAAAAAAGGTATTTTTGGGGAGTTCAGTTTCTCTAGAAACAAGTTCAAATCAAATCAACACAAAAAAAAATATGTAAGAAATATTTTTGTGACGCACGGTAGGCTCGCGATAATTCAAACTCAGACATTTTGTAGTTCAGATTAATTCAAACAAATTTTTTAATTTTTGGATTTCCAGATGTTTTCAAAGTATTTATAAGGCGCATTAGCCAAAAGGCGTATCCGCGTAATTCATACTTCTTGTTCTCGCGGCCCAGTTGAGCACCCTCCTTACCAAGCACTGGTACACTGTGAGAAAGCAACGCCCACGAAGCTCGCTTCCGCAGGGGCTGCTTCTCCGCAGTGCGCCGGTGCTCGGTGCGAAGCAGGCTCAACAACTTAATTTCGCCTTCGAGGTGTCACGTGCTGTCTGGACAGTCTGCGATAGATAGCACTTCTGCATGTATGGCATACCTGCTTATGAATAGTGTGCCCGAGCAGATGAAATCATCAAATATCTGCTTTCTTAACGAATCATAATTTTATCTTGCATCATATTTAGATATGTTTCTAATCATTCAAACTTCCAATAACTCAAACAAAATTAGCAGCTTCCTAGAGTTTGAAATAATGAAAGTCTACTGTATGTGCCCCAACCAGGCAGCTAACAAAAAAAAAGTGTCGGGGGAGTTTCGTGTCCCTTTAAAAAGAGGACACTGCCTCACAAAATAATCTTCCATCATAATGAAGTGCCCAGACATTAGTGTGCCAAAACAGCTCTTCAATGAAATGGACCGAGGACATATACCAGGGCCTTGCTCACCCGTTCTGTATGCCTCCTCGCGGATCTTTGGACGATTTGACACCGATCATCATCATGGAGAAGGCGAGGAAGAATAAAGTCAGGGCAAAGAGCAGACGATAGACAGCCAGGTAGCCAACAGCATTCTTGCAGGCATCCGTACTCTCGCAAAGCTGAGGGACCTGCGTCAGACAAGCACGGATCAACACAGATATATGGGCTCGGCTCAGGTCAAATCAAAACATGCCGAACTGAGTCAAGTCTACAATTCAAAACAAACTAACTGCACAAAATGAAATATCAAGGTTCGTACAGGTTTTGAAGACGAGAGTTCGAGGATTTTCAAGGACCTTCAAGGCCCTGTACCAATATTTAAAAAAGAAATGTATTGTTGCACCTGGTAGTTTTGTAGTAGTGCAACTTCTTTAACGCACTGCAAACGTTTGCAATGCCAACTCTTGCATCTTGCACGCATTCTTCGGCGTCTGTTAACACACACACACATGGTGTTCAATGGCTCACAAAGAGCTATCTGCTATTGTCTTCATGTTGCCACAGTGTCTCACACAACTGATATGGCATTTTTTTTATCACCGACTCTCCCACAGACGAGTTAGTGGACGTTTTCCCACAAAGTAAGACATTAGCATTGCAAGTTGCACTTCCCAGGAAACCTCAAGTATGTCCACATGCAACCATGTGAAGCATATGCAGACTGAGCCAACCAAGTGCAGCTAAAAAACAGGTTGAAGTGCGATGACCATAAACCATCGAGGAGGGACAAAGCAGGACCAGAAGATGGTGAAACGGACAAAACCAAAACTACTACTTATGTGGAAAAGCATGTAACAAACATCCGCTAAATGTCTCAATTGTTAAACCACAAAGTAACACTTGCTCGTCTGAAATTGAAAGGCTGAATTATTATGAATGTAAGAAAATGTGTAGTGATTATGCTTTAATTACTACTGTAAAAAGACAATGCCGGTGACTCTAATCACAAAGTTTGACTGTTTTTAAGCACTGTTACAAACTCCAGGGTTTTCAAGGACTTGAAATTCGGATTTCCAAAATCAAGGGTTTTTGAGGCTTTCAAGGACTTGTGCGAACCCTGAATACAGTAAGGAAGTGTTCATCCTCAATTTCCAAATTAGGTAATTACTTTTTTTTTTTCTTTTTTTTTTTTTTAAGTGCACAAGATGTAGTCAAACATGCAGGCATATTTAAGCTGTTCACAAGATTCATTTGTGAAGTTTTAGTGTCTAATGTGCCATCAGATTCTGTTTTACGAAAGGTGGCTTCATACTGCACACTTACCGTAAAATACCGAGCACCCACCCATTCCAACGTTCCAACATTTGGAAAATACACAAAGTACATATCTTTACATATCGTTGACCTAAAAAGCACCCATCCACCAGTTGTACATGACTATCTCCAAATTTTGAGCGGGCGCTTGCTCGGGATTTTACAGTACCTACAGCTTTTGTTTGCGCAACTTTACCACGGCAACATACACAAACTAATGTTGAATTTTTTTTTATAGTTTACTCTAGCCCTTATACACTCCGTGCAACGCGACTGGTGCGCCGCCGCGCGGCCGGTAGCGAAGGTAGGCAGTGAGAACCCCGGAGAAAACAAAACCGAAACCACACCGCGTACGTTGGTACGCATATTGAAGTCCGAGTGGTGCGGTTGCGCTGGGTTCACAGCATGAAGTGCTGCCTGTGCTGCGTCATTAAGTGCTTCAATAGTTATGCATCGTGTCTCGTGGAGACAAAGTTTCACAGTCTTTCACCTCGCCGATGTTTTCTGGGACAGCGACAACGATGGAGCCGTGCCGTACGACGCGAGAAATTTAGTCTCCCGATCATGTCTGCCACTGTGTCATCACGGCTGACATATTCTATACTGCCGCTTTGCGCTCTGCGTTTGTTTTCGTACCAGTAACGCCTACATGTGTAAGCGCCGATAGAACGAACTGAAATGCCATCCCACACTCGCGGTTATCAAATGCCAATTTCGTTGGAGGAATGCCCTCCAAAGAAGTTTCGTCCCCATCGTACGTGTCATTGATATTTCCGGACAAGTATGGCGTGCAATCTGTACTTCACGAAGAAAGATTCGAACGGTAAAAAAAGTGACAAATATAGATCTAAAGAAAACAACAATGAAACTCGGATTCACTGGAGAATCGACGATTGAGTATTGAAGTTTATCTGGTGTGCTTTCTTTCTGGATCAGCCTCCTTTTGGATGTGAAAACGCTGACACCCTGAGTTCTGTAGACAACAATTTTTTTCTCGGCTTTAGAGCCACCTATCGCAAAGTGGTTCGAACTGGAAGTACTGTTTACTGGTCCTTTCCTACCTGTAAAGTGTGCACCTCCCACGATGAGTGGTATTATCTTGACAGCCTTTGACGGTCAAAACTTGTTCCCATTTAGTTACGCCGCCCAAACTAAATTTCCACCTGGTTTCGCTATGCCAACTCTTTTTGTTATAATAATGTTGTGCCAAGTGACGGTCATGTCAAAGTACCCGTGCGCCGAAAATCAGAACCTCGTACAACAGGTTATTACACAACAGCTGACCGCAAAAGCCCTTGGCGGCCAAACCGTGTGTTGGCCGACAGCTTTGCTTTCTCGGCTTTGGAAGCACCTTTCGTAAAGTTGTTTCAATTGGAAGTACAGTCCACCAGTCCCTTCCTACCTGTAAAGTCTCCACCTCCCACAATCAGTGGTATTCTCTTGACAGCCTTTTCATGGTCAAAACCGGTTCCCCTTGAGTTACGCCGCCCAAACCAAATTTTCACCTGGTTTCCCTACGCCACCTTTTCCTTTTTGTATAATAAGTGCTGTGTCATGTTACTGTCAAGTCCAAGCACCTGTCTGCCCAAATCTGCACTTTGCACAGCCCGCTATAACACAACATTTTGGGTCCAATGTTGGATATCCCGTAAAGCTTTATTTCTTTATTCGTTAGAAACATAACTTTCACACCTGCTGTCTTAAAGAAACTTGGCACTCTTCGTGCACAAACTTAGTGAACATCTCACTCGCCTCCAAATATCATCGTTCCAGCAGTCCTAGGTTTACAGCGACGAGCGAAATACATTTCCCACTCAGAGCAATTATGGTGGCGGCCGTCTTGTTTTTCGGAAAATTGCTCCAACCCCTTTTTCGGCCGCAACTAGAGAAATTACCCCTAATAACGACTCAAACTCAATATATAAGAAGTGGAGAACAGCTATATGCCCTTCTGCCCCAGCACGCATGCAACGTCACCCTCAACTTATCAGCTCAAAAAGCAAAAGTTTCATCCGCGCGCGCTTCCGCCGCCACAGTTTGGCATGCGAAAAGCGCCGCAGGCTGCTGAACGCGCCTCACAGTCGAACCCCAGCTCCTCCGCTAGCGGCGCTGCGCGCGTTTTTCAAAGCGCCCCCTATAGTTCTCGCACGGAGTGTATAGTTTCATCCACACATTACCATTTCCTCAAAAATCTTCACTTTAATGTGTTATCACATTTCACTAACAATTTTGAGAAACAATAAAATGTTGGAGTAAATCCAAATGCTTAAGTCAAAAGAAGCAAAGCAAAAGTGAGTATTTCCATGCCAGAACAACAAAGAGAAAAGACCTTACCTTCTCAAGTAACCCTTCTATCTTTGGACTCAGCATGATGCAAGCTGCAATTGTGCTCAGCAGCAGCATGACAGCGTACATGATTCGTGTAGACGTAGAATTCCGGCAGGACGGGCATGCTGAGCAGCACAGGCTGCAGGCGGCAGATCCGCAGCAGCATGCCAACTGTCAGAACAAAGTTACGATGGGTTTACTCTAAAAAGCAATTATGCCAACATTGAGACAGCTTGCCTTAAAAAGGGCACTGTTTATGTCTTCACTGTGGTGGGGAAATTTGGTCACTGCAGTACAGCATTCGTTGATCTGTGGATTTTGATCTCCTTCGAATGTACAGCACACTTATTTTTAAAAGGCATGATCATAGTTTGTATTTTGCAACTTCAATGTTGTTCTTGAACCATACTAGTGGAAAGCAATTCTTATTCCATTTAATATTAACTGCGAAAGGGCCAGAGACAGTACTGCCCCTATCAACGATAGCCTTTTTTATTCATTTTCAAAACCTCTCCTACAAACTTTAAAAAAAAAAAAAAAAAAAAAAAACTAACACAATAGGTAGCTTTGCACATTCTTCAAGGGAATGGTGCAAGCTTCTGAAATCAATACATGGCTTGCACTGATGTCACATCAGCTGTCATTGCGGTGGGTGACATCATGTGCAAGCTATGTTGTACACTCTTTTATGAAAACACAATTTGCTAAAACTCTCTCGTAACTAGCAGAGTATTCAGTACATTTTGCACATAGAGCATAGTGGTGCAATCTGCCGTGTATTTTTCTACATTAGCGTAAAACGTCTACTGGATGTTGTTAAATATATGTGAAAACGGAAAATCGACACCATCTAGCTGCCTATCAGTACAATCCAGTACCTGCAATAAACTAATCAGAGCTCCTTTGACACATGAGACAGAGGTTAAAGCCAAAGCGAAGACCCTGGAAACTTTTTTTTTTAATGGCATGAGTCACTTTTCTTTTTAGTTAATTAGGGAAGCAGGCAAGAAAAACAAGACGAGTGTTTTATCAAGACAAGGTAGCCAAACCGAAGCAGCTCCGCTGTTTTTGAGACACCGATATCGCTCCCAAGAGCTCGAGTGGGGCGATTACGACGCTTGTTCATGCAACGAAGTGGGGAAGATGTAGTTTCTTCCTTTTTGTTTCCTGGTTATGTTGCAAATTGGTTGTGGGTACACTACTGCAGTCTTCTGAAGCGACTCGCGACGGTTCCTATAATGAAAAACCTAAAATATGCGCCTTTTTAGGTGACTTAACCCCGTATTACTACCCACTGCGCGATTCGTCGCAGTAATGAACTCGCGTTTGACGCGTTTAACTGAGCATTTCTGTTTGAAAAATACTAAATGCTTAGAGTATTATCCGTTGTATCCCACTCTATTTCTGCGGCTGGAAGGTGAGAATGTCGACATAACGCCAAAATAATTCAGCGTTTCGAGATTTGCAACAATTCTGATGCCTAACATGGCTAATCCGTGAGGGCCGTGAGGTGTTTGAAGACGCCGAGCAATGGTTCACAAAAAGCTTTTGAGATGTAGAAAGTGGCAAAATTAACGTACCGATCCCACAGAACACAGACTGAGGAGGCCTCCCATCGCGGAGTTTTGCAGCGGGACACAAAGGATTGAAAGGCTCGGGCCGTTGTATCCTGATGTCAGCTGTCGCCAAGCGTCCACTTGCACAAGAACCACACAACAATCATACACGGGGAAAAGGGAGTCACGTGACGCGACTGACTTTGCCGAAAGGTGGGGCAAGCGAACATCCAAAAATAAACGCTTCTTCGCTCCGCCGTACGTTCGCGGCGCAGCGATCGAAATGTTGTCGCTATGTTGTCGTTTTCTTGTCGTCTGCTCTAGCGTGCGCTCCAAGAGTCCTTCGGCGTTTCTTTGGCGTTTGTGCACGCGTTGCAGCGTGCTTTGTAATACACACTACAGCGCAAAGGAAAAAGACAAGGAAAAGGCGTAGACAGGATTAGCGCTGAACTACAGTGGCTGAACTGTCTACATCTCTTTCTTGTCCTTGTCATTTGCGCTGTAGTGTAGCCCATCAGATTATTTTAGCGTGCTATGTGTTTGCCGTTGAAAATAAAACTACTTAATTGAAATGCGAGAATTTTCGCAAGAAGATCTATACAAAATGCCTGGCGTGCGAAAGAGCGAACATTACAAAGCAATCATTTGTACAGCACTGCTGACAGAAAATTACACAAAAAGGATGTTCACGGGGGCCGGGGCCAATCAAAATTATATCCCGATATGACAATGTTGATTTAACCTGAGATTTGGGTGAGAAGAGGCATAAAAACGTAGAAGGGACAGAAAATAGACAGGACGAAGTCTCCCTGAGACCCCCGTCGTCCTGTTTGTTTTCTGCACCTTCTACGCGCTGAGACGTCGTCCTGTCTACGTTCTGTCCTTTCTAAGTTTTGATGCTTCTTCTCTACCCCAGTCTCAGGTTAAATCAACATGGTTAATATTCGCCAGCTCGACTGCACCCTTACAATATTTCCGGATATGACAGTAATAAACCTTGGACTGAGGTTTACAGTGACTTGTCAGAAGTTACTGATACCTGCCAGTGTTACTATAACTCACCTCCTCAAGCCGCATAAGTGTAACTTTCACGGCTTTTTTAAACAAATCTGTAAAACTAAATAACACACACACACACACACACACACTGTGTGTGTGTGTGTGTGTGTGTGTGTGTGTGTGTGTGTGTGTGTGTGTGTGTGTGTGTGTGTAATCGCATAGGTATATGTGGGAGTAACCTACACTCTACATTTCACCCTCCTTTTTCTTTTAAAACATTTTCGGTTGCGGCCTATGTACAAATTTGTGTATATGTGTGCGTGTGCGTGTTTTCTTTTTTTCTCCCTATCTTTTCTTTTTTATCCAATTAAAATTTTGGGTGGCTGGCTGGCCGGCGCACTCGCGTACGGGTTTTAACCTTTCTGCACAGCCGTGCACGCCACCCAGGATCACATTTTTGTATGCAAATAATAATGAGAATTATTATTATTACCGCAAAGGCTTAGTCTAACGCCTTTCCGGTCCTTGTCTAAATTCCGGCTTATATATATATATATATATATATATATATATATATATATATATATATATATATATATATATATATATATATATTTCAAATTCCAAATACCGCACCGCAATGCCATGTAAAAAAAAAAAAAAAAAAAAAAAAGTTTTATTGTTTTTTAGGGAGTGAGTTTCACGAACCAATCATTTGACTGGTGATGTTTTACGCTACGTTTCATAACCATTTTCTCGATCGACATAGTCACGAAATGTCAGAACGTCTACGTCTGACATTACGTCAAGGGGCCAAAAAGGGAATGCCTCGAGCCACGGAGGCACTGCTTGCGTTTAACGTTTCTACGCGTTATCGTACTTGTCACGACTTCTTCACTTAAAGATCGTAAAAAAGGGATTAGGATATAATATATATATATATAACTGTAAAATAAACGAACTCCGCTTGCGCAGTGGCACAGAAAAAGACGATTCTAAAGATAGAATCCTTCCGAGTTTGCTATGCCGCAGCCGGATAATGCGGAGCGCATGTTCGTCTGCATCTTGCACAGCTTGCGATGATGTCAGAAGACCGAGCTCTGATTGAGGATAGTGGGTAGACCTAAAAGCAAGCTGCCTTGAGGACTACCCACTATCCTTCAATCAGATCTAGCCAGTCAGAGCTCGGCGTTCTGACGCATCACAACCCCAGCAAAAGAAGCAGACAGTCTTGCCGTCCGCTTTAGCTAATTAAAAAAAGAAAGAAAAAAAAAGGCAGATTTTGACATTGAGGCATCTAGCATTGAGGTATACCCACTATTTTTCCAATCAAAGCCAATCAGAGCTCGGCGTCGTTCTGACGTCACCGCAGCTCCTGCGCAAGAAGCAGACGACTTTCTCTCTCCGCTCATCCCTACGCTGACAGTGGAGTGAAGGCAACGCGCTCGCCGGACCAATCAACCGCCTCCATTTAATCACACTGACACCGCTCTCGGTGCGCGTGGATAGTGGGAGGGAGCATGGCCACGTAATGGACCCATGAATGGTTCAAAGAGCACTTCACTTTCACCGCGCTGTCAGCTTATGGGTAAAACTCGACCGGCGTACGCAGGGAAGGACGCAGGTATTTCTTGAAAAGAGGGGGGATGGGGGGGGGAGGTAATGGTCAGCGGATCATATTAAGGACCCCTCCCCCCCTCCCCCCCCCCCCCCCTCTTCCCGTTTCCACGCACTAAATTTGTACACATGCAGAATTCAAGAGGGGATCGAGTCTGAGGTCAGGACATCCGGACCCCCGCTCTGAATCCACCCTTGCAGTCACATCACGTAGGCAGAGGTCCCACGGCCGTTAAACCAAGGAATTTTCCATGAACGCTTTCTAAGCTGACGCGAGCGCGTGGCTTCATGTATGGTTTCGTTTACGCGAGAACGACGCGAGATCACACCCCATGTTCTCGCGCCAACAGCTTTTGAAATAGTCACGAGACGAGAGTCACGAGATCAAGACAATGACGTCACTATACATTTTCTCGTTCACTGATGCCCCACTGACCGTCCGCCCGGCTAGCTCAGTCGGTAGAGCATGAGACTCTTAATCTCAGGGTCGTGGGTTCGAGCCCCACGTTGGGCGATTTCTTTTTTTCTTCTTTTATTTTTTTTTATTTTTTTTTTTTAAATTGCGCATGGTGTGATATATTTCATCAGTCATAAATTATTTCAAGACAAAAAGAAAAAAAAATATTACTTCACCTTTTGTTTGAAGTGACAAAAAATGATAATGCTTCACAGCGCACAAGATCAGACACACTTAAAAAGGAAAATCACGCATACACAGGAAGAACACTCACGCAGCGCTGACTGACAACTCAAATGTATTATGCCTCATCTTCATCTTCACTCACTCCGATGCAAATGGCAGTGAAACAAAAAATCAAGGATCATATGAAAAAGAGAAAAGGCAAGGACAGAAAAAGGATTAAAAACAAAATATAGAAGGAAGCAAAATATAGAAGGAAAAAAGTAATGAATTCCCTGTACAGCGGACGTTGCTACTGTGCTTTTTCTATATAGTTCAACTCTTTCTCCGTTAAGGCTAGCGAAGGAGTGCTAACACATATCCTATCTAGCCTTACAATGTTAGCGGTTTCTACTATTTCCCGCGTCGTTTTGTCCCTGCTCTGTCCCAGTATGGTGCATTTCTCTAGGAGGGGAGAACATCCACACGCTCTGCAGTGGAGGCCTAAATGACCTGAGTTGGAATTTATGGCATTGTTGTGGTGCTCACGAAGTCGGTCATTTAGACAGCGACCCGTCTGTCCGATGTAACACTTGCCACATGTGAGGGGGAAGGAATAGATGACTCCCTCAATGCAGGACACGAACTTGTTCAGGTGGTTTTTGATACATCCAACTGGTCGACTAGATGTCCCATTGACCTTCTTGCACAAGCTAGAAAGTCTATTTGGCGCGGAGAAGACAACGTCTACGTTGACTCTATTGGCCATTTTCTTAAGCTTGTGGGATAAGTTGTGGATGTAGGGAACTATGACAGGCCTTGTGGTGCGGTCTCTGGTTCTGCGTGTTATAGCTCCTTCCTGCTTGACCTCCCTGAGTAGGACTTCGGCAACGGAAGTTAATAAGGACGGGGGGTAGCCCGCTAAAACCAACCGAGAAATTTGCATGTTGAAACTCGTAGGGACTGTGTGTTTGCAAGATTTTTCCAGAGAGTTTTTTAGGCATAGTTTTACAATGCCTCTTTTTACAAGCTTAGAGTGGGCGGAGCTATGGTTGAGGAGAGGCTTCTTTGCTCGAGGTTCGTACGACCAGCAGGTGTGATTGCTTTCAAAAAATAGTCGTAGGTCCAAGAATCTTATAGATCGCTCAACCGGAAGCTCATGGGTGAGTTTTAACGGGTGAAGGCAGTCCTTGAAGGTGGACAGAACACTGGCCACTAAGTCGGGGAAGGTTCCATTGTTACTGTCAAGTAAAATCAGGTAGTCATCCACGTACCGAAACACACGCACTACTTTGGACTGGTCAAGGTTATGCTGCAATAATCTGTTATGAAATGCCAGATAAAGGTCACTGAGTACGGGAGCTATACAAGAACCGATACATACTCCCGTTTTCTGCAGGTATGTTAAGCCTTCCCAGGTGGCAAAAGTAGAATTCAAGTAGGTGATTATTAAATCGAAACCCTTGACTGAGACGCCTGACGCGTTTTGAAAGGCTATGACACCAAAGGAGTCAACACTTTCTTCTATGCACCTAAGAAGACGGTCTTGAGGGAGGGCATAATAAAGGTCTTTGACGTCGATGGAAAAGGCGTTGAGACTTCTATCTGTGACATCATGGAGGAATTGCCAGACCTCATCTGAGCTCCTAATCAGGTAGGGATCATTGATGTCAAGAAGGTTTAGTTTGTCTTGGAGGAACACTGCGATGGACTTTTGCCAAGTGCCTCGTTCAGACACAATGACCCTGAGGGGGCAATCAGTCTTGTGCGTTTTTGCACTGAAGAAAATCTCAAGGCTGGATAATTTGCTTTTGTCGATGGATGAACAAAGTTGCTTGAGGTCAAGAGAGCTACATAGCTTCTTGGCTTGGCTTTTGATCTTACTTAAGGTGATATCTTGATGGCAATGGAAGACTGACTCAATGGCCGTTAAGGCCTTATTGCCAAACAAGGCCTTGTGCATGAGCACAAAACCGCCTTCTTTGTCTGCC